GTGTAAAACAATAAACAAAAACAACAGCTTGCCAAAAGTGTACTGTAAATAAATGTTCATTATTCAAAGACTTCGAACTAAGCTTTTGAATAAGTTTCAAACAAACAGCGCTAGCAATGCATCTTTAAGAAGAACAAATCTTACCATTTTTAAAACCCCAAAATTGCGCTTTTGTGCTGGCTCTTCTATGGATTGTATACTGTCATTGTTAACCTCCCTCTGTTCTTAACAAAACTCATTCAATTCTCTGCTGGGGCACCTTCCATCCAGTTTTACAGACCAAACTCCCACCTAGTATCTGGAGTATCAGATTTCCTATCACACTACATGCTCAGGTGTAATCAACTATCTGATCAACCCTTGCAGCAGGTGCTCATTAAGCATTCAATTGGAAAGACTGCAAGAGAACACCACTCTTTTCATACAAATTAGAACACAAACCACCAATATCTAACCTCTGAAAACATTTGGAACAGTTTTCAAGAACACTGCGACACACTCTACAAACAATAGTACTGTAGTTCTTAGGTTTATCTTAAGTTCATCTTATGTTCTTGTATTCTGACTTCTCAATGGTCATATGTTGGCTATGGCTCCTTTAAAGCCATGCTTTTTAGAAAACGCAACACTGAGAATTGAACTTGGAGAGCAAACTAGATATCTATGAAACTCTCCAAGATGTCATTAGTTGAAGATCTAAGCATTGCTGATATAGGGAGAGGACAATCTAGATGAACCATTAAGAAGGGTGGACAGATCTGGTCCATAAGAACTTGGATGCCTGGTTTACATTATGTTGGATTCAGATACATGGCTGAGCTAATTATCTCCATAACTGCTGAACTGTAGTAGGCCTTTGACTCTGAAACCCCCAAAAATCCTCTCTAAAACTAAAACAAAAATAATCTCTGTCGCATTGTAATTGAGATTGTGCTACAGTATGTGCAAACTCTACTGTAGAAATTCCTACTACAATACTTCATAATCATTGCTCCTAATATCCTATTAGCTTTTCCAAGAGGGTACATGCATTGCTTAACATGCAGATGAATTTGCAAAACAATCCTTGCAATTTATGAAGACTTTCTCAGTCAGAACTGGTTGCCATGGGAACACTTTAAAGGTTCAGAGACATTAAAACCATAATTGGAGCTTGGCAGGGAAGGTGGTCTCCTTAAAATGTCTACCCCATACTTCACCACATTAAATGTTAATGGATGTGAAGGTCAAATTAAATATAAGAAATCCTGGAAAAATGAATGTCTTATATATAGGACCTGCAAACACAATGTGTTCCAAGGAGTCCTTGAATTTGACAACTTACAGTGAATGAAAAAAATTAATAAAGAATATACAATGACAAGATCTTGGTTGCATTAACTTTAAAGAGTTCTTTCCCTCAAGAACTGGCGGAGCTGACATTTTTTCCCCAAAAATTAATGACTTAATTGGTTTAATTATTGGCTTTTTCCTCTCTCAGTGTGAAGCAGTTGATAATAAAATCCATGGGCCCAAATGACTCAAGTACTGGGGGAGGATAAAGCAGTTCTTAGGCGCTGCATGTTATTTCTGTCATAGGACCTAAGGCCTGATATATGCAATTGTTATTTCCAATTTAATTTTTTGGATAATATCTATAGGACTCCTAGGATCATGACTCCAACCAACCTGCCAACCATGAATTCCAAAACTATGATCACTTTCTGACAGGTGAATTGTCTTGACTCAGTGGAAAGTCCCCATTAAGTACCAAGTCACAATTTCCAAGCGAAAGTCAGAGTATTCATTTTAATTTAGGCTTGATTGCACAAAACAAGCTTCTCTTCAGCCTGATGTCCTATGACGCACGTTAACATTTCACTTTTGAGACAAAAGTCACGCCATTACAGGATGCTGAAATGCATTCACTTCACTGACTGTTTCATCCTTGGAGGCTGACAGCAAGCCTGAGCCCAACCAGGTAGGCGCAGAATGTCAGGCTTGATCAAAACCCAGACAAGATGTAAACCCATCGCAAGACACATGCTACAAGGCACGCTTGGGTAATAATTTAGAGATGTCAATAAACCTGGACACGTCTTTACAGAGCAGAATGAAAACCCGAGCACCTGGAGGAAACATGTGGGAGAACATGCAAACTCAACACAGATTGTGCTCCAGTCCAGACTCACACCCAGGAACCAAGAATCAATAACTGCTACATTACCATGCTGTCCCTAATTTGTCAAAGAATTGTATGAATAACGCCAACAAAAAAAGATTCTAAACATTTTGCATAAAACATATGCTGTGGTTAACCATATAATTGGCTGCTTCCCAGAGCGACTTTTCAAACATTGCAATTAATATCATTCTTTTTAGAACTCTTTTTTTGCTGACCAAAATTCATAGTGTACTTATAAAGATTTGAATTATAGTTTTGTTGTTTTGTGTGTCCAGTGAAAATGAAACAACCAGCGAACACACCGCTAGCCTTTTGGGGAAAAATGTAACGGATATAAAATACCTCCCCAAAAAAATTATTCAGAGAACCATCCTAAGATCATTTGCTTTTTAACTAGCTTTCCTTTTCCAGTTTCATTTTCACGCAGCTTCCATTCACAGTCACCTCTCACGCAGACATGGTGTTAAGCTTTCTCTGGCAGCACCGAGTCTTCACCAGAAAGAATGAACCTTTGTCTTCTGTCTCTGCACAATGTGATGCTTTGGAGGTAAAACTAAATCCTCAGAGCCGGCAACTTTTTCAGTCCTTATACACTTTATAAGCTAGCTATATTTGTACTTATGATTGCAGAACCAGGACACAAAGGGTATATCATCTGCTATTAGCCAATTGTTTATCATGTCTCCTCCTTGAGCCTAGAATGACCCTGAAGTGTCAGTATTGCTTTCTGTGTGGTAGAGAGAAGATAACAGAACAGCTGCATCCAACTGTGACTCAGTCTTCCAGCCGCCTGCATCTTACAAAACTCTGGTGAGTCTGAGTCATGCAAAACACACTGTCACTTTGGGGAAAAGCCGACTTCATGGGACCCATGAGAACCAGGCAGATAAGTCTGTTCTTAGGATCTTAAAATCATCATTATGAGGAAAAAACATACCATATACAGTATGTATTTTACCACCTTCTGTTTCAAGAAACAAAGCCTCTTACTGAATATTTTTTGGATTTTCTTATTGCATCAAAATGAAACCATTTTTTTTTTTTGCTCAAGTTATGATGCACAACTAAGCCGTGTGACATTCAAAGTTTCCAGGACTTGGATGTACAGTACCAGTAACTTTGAGTTTTTGCTCCACAAAACTAATTAAATGGAACTTGGAGGACGCTTGTTTTTATTTGTGGGCCAGCCCAGATTAAATATGAAACCTGTGACCAACCTGCCAAAATGAAAACTTGATGGTGACCTTTCATAGCATGGACACAAACACATCTGACAGCTGGCTCAAGCATGGGTTTTTTTAATCTTGGCCATTACCTGCATTTACTTTGAGTCAGATTTAAAAAAAAACTTGTGAACATTTTACACCAAAAAAAAATCATTCTTGCAGAATCCAAATCAAACAACTATTTAGTTCTCCCATACAATAAATGCAATTCAACTGAACGTACATGAAGGACATTATTACCTTGCTGTCAGGTGAGTCTTCCTTCATTGGTTTCAGTTGATCAAATCTCCCAAGGCTCTTACCATTTTTTCCCCATGACTGTGAAGAGTTGGTAATTGCATATCAGCAGCAAGACACTCCCAAGGAACTTCCAAGCCCTGTATCTATGCATAGATTGTTCCATTCCTCGGTACTATGAAGCTCCACTCTACCCGTTGCTGCAAAATACAGTTTTCACTTCCAAACATACCTGTTTCACCACTGCATATCAAATGGACAGGCCTTCTTCAGTGGCTGAAGAAAATGTGGTTGATTTTATTGAGTAATTAGGTTTAGAGTTTTCAGGTACACCGATTTCCTTTTTGCAAGGCCTGAGTAGATCATCTATAATCAGTTCTATATAGAGTATTTGTGCATCTACAGTAATGTCAATCTGTAGCATTGGTTCTTTTTAGCATACCAACAAAATAGGCAATAGTTTCCAATGTTAAACTCAATCTAACACACCACTGTGCCTCACGGCTAAACAGACAAGCACTGGCTTGAGTGCACATTGTGATATCCTGTCATTTATGATGAAGAGAAGCTAAGCATACATGCACCATAACAGATGTTCAAGAGAAATGATTTTTTCCCCTCTATTTTTTAGAAATCCACAGTTGAAATGTGTTCAATTAAAGACAGGAGGGGAAAAGAGAGACATGTTCCAAGACTCAAAGAATGGGTGATGGATTCAAATAATGCTTCATTTCAGATTTTGAGAATTGAAGGAAAAAAATTAAAGGGCAATTTTATTGCATTTAATTCTAATGACCAAATGAAGCAATTTTAATCTGAATAGATGACCTGATTTATCCTTGAGCAAATGATCACTGCAGCAGTAACACGGCTGTCAGGAATTACACAGGCAACCTGCTGATTATTTAATTACAACTATCAGGACATTCTATAGGACAGTTACCAAAGGTTTCTTATTTAACCTCCACTAAACACTTACAGTAAGATGGAAAACAAGGTAGACACGTAAATCTACAGTACACGCTATCCTCTTCTTTGCTCTTGTAATTCTAAAATAGTTTTGCAGGCCCTCATGGCATCAAAATAATTAACATATTATGCTTGTTTTGTTTATTTTGATGCTGTTAAAAAAAAGAGGGAAAAGCAATTAAAATCTAGAAAAGTAAAATAAAATAAGTACAAGGATCAAGGTAAATTAAGAGTGCATCCAATACAGTTAAATCTAAATTGCTGACTCGTAAGTAGATATTTACAATATAGAAACCATCTTATCTTTAAACAATCAGAAAACAATATTTCAGAAGCTCCTGTCATATGTACACCACTCCACATTCTAGATATCAATCATAGTTCAAGAAATCCCACAAACTAAGCAGATTACAGTAATGGTTTATTGCTTAATTAGAAGGTGATCCATTGAAACCATGCATTTGCACTTTAAGTTGAGTCACCTTCAATTTCTACAGTAGCTTCCCAGTTATTGCTACATTTTTTACAAATGATAAAAAGGTACACTCTAAAATTAATATGCAAACACTTTATACAAATCAACATTGAATGAATGAATTTCATAAACATTCACAAGATGACAGGAAGAGCAAAGCACATACATGTAAACTGCAACATACTGTACAAACAGAGAAAGAAGAAAGTCACAAGGTGTAATGAAGACTGCCACAAGTGCTGAACTGTACTTTCCAGACAGCACAACCTTACATGAATAAGAATTACTATACAAGAGAACCCATCAATAGAACAACGTGCTAAGAATTCATGTAACAACTTCTATAACTCTAAAACTTCTCTGCTTTCTTATGTGAAGGAAAGGCTTTATGTGTCCTGTGATGGCGTACCTCTTTCCCCATTTCGGATGAAAAAGCACACACATTTTCAGAGGCGTATAATCAAGAGTAAGCAAAACACAGAGACGGCTTCGTCTTGTGTCAATGGATATCTCAGGGCTTTCACGACAGTAGCTGGGAAAAAGCAGGAGAGAATTTTACCCAACCATCTGCAAAGGATGTAGTGTTGCAAGGTACAGTATGTGGCTTTCTGTTATGGGAAGAACAGAGGTTCCTGATGTCCATCATGTGCAGAGTGATGTTTTTTTCTAGTGTTTCTGAAACCTTTGATGTATGTAAATAGACATTAATACAAGACAATGGGATTCTGTGGGATTCTACCAGTGGATTTTCTTTCAATCTTCAGATTTCCTAAATGTCTGAGAGAAGAACAAACTCACGACAGCCTTCTGAATTCCAGCACTCTGTGATTTACTAAGAGCGTTTATAGCAATTTCTATAATGAAGATATGAAATGAAGGCTCACTCTTTAATACAAAACAGGGAATATTCACTGGGGTTATTTGTGTTCTCATATTCTGTTTTATACTACAAAATACAATGCCACCTTTCAGCCCATTAAGCTAAAGAGAAATCAATGTCTGTATTTTTCTGAAATGCAAAGTATCCAAGTTGCTTAATTTGCAAAGCCAAGGCACTTAATGATTTAAGTTTAATTACAAAAGAAAAAATGAAATGACTGTATAAAAAGTAAGATTTTCTTTGTATTACCAACCCCCCCAGGAGATACTGACCTTTTATACTATGTATACTTTGGAAACAATACTATTTGTCTCTGAATTTCTTCCTCAGCTTCCCCTAATATTGTTCTTGCAATCTTCTAAAATTTTTATTTCCCTACCAAATCCAAGTTAGTTTATTACAACAACTTTTACGGTTGACAATTGGGTTCTAGCAGGTCTATCAAACTTTGTGTTTGGACTTGGGAGAGATTGACAGAAAAGTCTGCTCTAGATCATTTTATACAAAGACTTTTTTTAAAGAAGTGAATTTCTCTACTGTCATTTGCCTCCACAATTACATAAGAAATGTGGAGACTAAAATGCTGCCATACAAATAAATTAAACAAAAAAACATTTTAAGAACATTCAATTAAGTTGCCAAGACATACCTTCTTATTAACCTTTCAAAAACAAAGCTAAAGAAAGCAAAGCTTGGAAGGCTTCCTTTTGTTAAACTGATATTTTAAAAGTTTAATAGTTTAAAAATTAGTTACTGGTGCATAGCATTAACTCTTCTACAGAGCAAACCAGAAGTGTTTATTTTAATGAAATGAAATTAAAGATTTAAAATGTGTAAATATTAATCATTTTGCCAAAGACCTCAGACATACAGTATATCCCTCAGTCAAATGACACCTATCAATCTGGAACGTCAATGAGTTGATCCAATAGAGAAGCATGCTTTCTCTTTTATAGTCTTTTGAGGATAAACACACATAAGCCAAAGTTATTATTCTCAGTATTTTTTTTGTCCAGAGTGTACAATGATGATGATTAACAGAACAAGAACAACAAACTTTTGATGCATTCAGTCACAGGTTTTCATTTTTTCAAGACGTCTGGAGAACCATCACGTCTCCACTGGATTCAGTTATTTATTGAACACAGAGGTTCCAATACACAATGGAAAAATGGGTAGGGATAGACTTGATTGCACTTTTTTGTTCACCTTAGCCCCTCTTTGAAAGGCACAGTGCCTATCATACCAGTCTTTACCAGAGCTTTTTAACACTGAAACAGCTTGGGAGAGGAGGCTGTGGTTATGTGCCTTCAGGCATGCCTAGTCCCCGGCTTCACCAAGTGTAGACGTGCAACTTTCAAAATCTGTGGGAAATTTACCCAGAAGGGATGATAAGAAAAGAGGCAGAGTGTGTTGTGTCTGAATAAATCACTGCCAACTGGCCTTTCACTTGAGCATGGAAGTATATAAGCCCTTCTGAGGCCTCCTTGATTTTTTTACAGTCCGTATGGTCAGAGAACACAGTAAAGTCTTTGTGCAAAAAATTGTTTTAGATTCCATCTTCCATCTCTGCCAGAAGACCTCTTAAACAGTCATCCTCCTGCTTGTCCTGTGCTGGCTGCTTCTTACTGTGCTCAGAAACATTACAAAATATAGATTTATTAAAACTAACATCAGAGAGTATATGTACAGGTAAGCATGAAATAGTGGACATGTCAGAGAAAATTACTTTCTTTTATAAGTGTTACTGTTAACTTACTTCAATGAGCATTTAAACAGTATTATTTTAAACACCAAAAATTAATTAAAACATGCCTTTTGGAAAAACAGCATAAGGTGAAACACTACACAGTCAACTGCACCATCAAAACAAATTTAGAAACTATATTGCAAGAGTCATTAAAAACACACAACCAAAGTTATTCTTTTCAGTATACTTGTTTCTTGTGTTTTTAAATGATGCTCAGTATTAATTACAAAGTTGTAATAAGCTAGGAAAACTACTATTTTAACACAGCAATAATAATAAAACAGAATATGTCATATTTCTAATTCTACTAATTGGTTTTGATACTGAACAAACCATTTAAAAAACACCTATAGAATACATTATGAACGTTGTGTCCAGTTCTGTAAATTCTCTTTTGCTGTCAAAAAATATTTCCACTTTTGAATCACTTACCTGAATGTTAAGCTGAACTTTCATACATTTCGGAAGAGCTGCAAGGCAAAACGAGAATTAAGGAGTGCACAGCACAATATGAAGTCCTCATCTCGACAGTTCAAAACACTACCTTTAGGCACCGATTTTAACTAGGGGGCAGCACTGAGCAGTGGATGGGGCTCTGAACTTGTTCCTGGAGGGTTGTGGACACAAGACAGCAATGGGTCTGACGTATTGTTGAGCCAGACAGATCTAGGTCTGCATAACTGCTGCTAATGGCCACCAGCACTGCCAATGGTTCAATCTGTAATTGACTAGTATCTCACATGGACCTGCTCTTTATACTCTCAAATGCCCTCTCATACTCAAAGGCACCTATAAAAATAGGATCATACCGTTAGAATAAATATTTTCAACAATTCACAACTAAATTCCTTTAAAAAACAAATCTTTAGCAAAATAAAAATGTTTAAATATAACTTATGCACTTTCAGCCACAATATTTGAAGAACCTTTTCTTTAAGCTAATTAAATTGGATACTTCTGATTTACATTGCATGCAATGGTATTTCCATAACTGCCGATTTTCAGGGTACTTTTTAGACTTTAAAACACTCTGAAATGGACTTAAAAGGATGTTAACTAGAAGCCATAGTTTTATACATCTAAGAGCTAGCATACACTTTCAGAAAATAATAATCTCCTTTGTGATTTAATCTAGGCAGGAATATGATGAGAGTAGACAGCAAAAGGTAAATTAATTCCAGCAGTAGTATGAGTAGTATTACTGTTTAGTGTGAATGCAATTTCTGTTCTGTTTAGAGATTTTTTTTAACCTATGTCCTTATCATTGCAATATGGTACATTCTTTATTACATAAAACATAAAAATACATTTCTAACAATAGATCATTTGAACAGTTTTTATCACTGTCTACAACAGGAACAAAATAAATGTAGCAGAGTAAATACCTATCTTTTTAAATTCATTGAATATAAAATAGAATTTTATATTTAACATCTTTATAATGGACAGGTTACATCTTAGAAAGAACATCACATACGGTTCACACAAGTAAAAAGGGGGCAATTCAGAGATGACAATTATTCTAAACAGCGCATCTTTGAAGTAGGAGAGAAATCAAGAGCACCTGGCGAAAACCCACAAAGCTACAGGGAACAAATGGAAAATCCACACAGAAGATGCCAAAGGCCACCAAACCCAGCACCCAGGACCCAAGAGCTGTAAGGCAGCAGTTCAAGCCTCCATGTAATGCTTGAAAAATGCCTAAGGTCTACAATCACAAGAGCAACATTAGAGAAGACATATAGGTTTTTGACTATTAAAATGTTTTTTTTTTCTTCATTCCGGAAAGAAGTGGAATAAAATATGGTTTCTAAGTACTGTATACTTTTTTCTGCATAAAATGTTGAATAAACCAATTCATTCCTGAGTCACTTATTTTTCAACTTTTAACATTTTGCTTTGCTCATCAAAAGATCTTGTTTACATTGTCTATTTTAAACATGCATGAATACAAGCAAAGGCACATGAACTCATAAATGCATTGTGTGTACATTCATACAGGTAGTGGACAAAAACATGGAAAAACCTTGGTGTGGAACATCATGTTTATTGAAAGCAAGGGCCTCTCACACATGTGGCTCACGCGTCAATCAGGCAAATAATATGGTAACACGTTTAAGGACGTACAAAAATGCTGGACAGGCCAGGTTGCCTGATCTATTATCATAGATGGTATACAGTATGTGCAAGAGCAGGCCTCAGTGACTTTGAAAAGGTGTGATTGTTGGGGCATATTCACAAACTCTTCAATCCTCAAGACAGCTCAACTCGCTGATGTTTCACAATTAATAGTGAATAAGGTGATGGAAATCAGAGGAAAAGACATCACCTGCAAATGTCAACTGTGGTGGAAGGGAGTACTCCAAGATTGTGATGTCTCTGCATTCATCTGAAGCGCAATGCAAAACAGATGAGGAACTGTAGAGTAATCAAAATCTGAGAAAAATTATTTACGGTCTACTGAGAGCTCCTCAGATAGGATACCATAGTCAGGTTGCTGTGCACAAACCACCAATTACACTGGCAATGCACTGTATGTCCAGTGGAGCATAGCAACAGACAATGGACAACCAGAGGTAGAGAAAAGTGGTATAGCCAGATGATTAATCCTTCACCATGTTCACGTCAAATGGACAAGTTCACGGTTGTCTCCAACCAAAAGAATTCTACTGCCCTGAATGCTTGGTGCCAACAGTGAAGACGTCTGTTGGTTCTGTAATGGTGAGGGATGCATTTTCCTGGCATAGTTCCAGTATACGTATTCCCTTAGAAGACAAAGTCTGTGTTATTTATTTATGGTACTGAGTGATCGTTTTGAAACATTTCTACCCTGTTGGCAAAAGTATCTTACAGGATGACAGTCCACCCATCCACGGAGCACATGTACAGTAGTTGCCCAGTGGTTTGATGAGCACGACACTGAAGTTATCCCTAAGTCATGGCCTTCTCCATCACCGGATCTAAACCAACCTGTCAAGCATTAATGAGGTATCCTGGGACTATGCCTGAGACAGCGTTTTCCACCTCCTTCAGCGAGTCGACTGACTTTCCAGTGGAAGAATGGTGCCGCACCTACCTTAGAATTCCAAATGCTGGCAGGCTCTATGCTATGTATACCGTATGTATACAGCAAGCCTTATTGACTGCACATGGTCATCCAATGCCTTATTAAGTAACTTTTCATCTGTGATTCCATTTTCTTGTCCACTACCTGTATATATACAGTATATATTATATACTGTATACTGCATATACATTACATACTGTATAATTAAGCAGTCATGAATGTATAACTGAGATTTATGACACTCTTCAATGCTCCACAAATAAAGCCTTACAGTATATATCAGATATAGATGCAGCTTAGAACAACAGCTCAATGAGAGACAGACCCCAGGAATATGGATTCCTGTGCAAGGTACAGTAGTGTGTGCCATAATGGAAAAGTACACCCACAATTAAAAGGCCCAATGAACAGCAAGAATCACTTCTCCAATTTTTCAAGAGAGAGGCCTACTTTCTTGTTCAATTGATCAGTCAACTGTCCCATCACAAGACAGACCAAGTGACCAATTGATGGACGGATCGACAGGTTGATCGTTTGATTGGACTCACAGCAAGCGGATCAGCAGTAAAAGCAGCCACGCTGTTTCTCATCTCGTTTTCGCTGCCCCTCAGCGGGATTAAAGATCTATTACCCAACCTGGTATCAAGCTGCACACGAGATGCTCGCATCTTCACAGATTCTGAAGGCCACATGTTGCCATCATTCTGTAGGCAGAGAAAGACGATCAGGAACACTTTATAATTACTCTGTGCAAGCTTTACTTCACTTTACTTGACAGGTCCCCCCTATCACTGTGGAAATGACAGTAAAAGAGCATTAATATTCCAGGAAATCCCAAAAGCTTTGCTATATTACCCATGACACCATTCAGGAAAATAACTCAATTGTTGTATTTCAAGATCCTTATTCCTTCCATCCATTTTCTAACCGCTTTATCCAATACACCGTTGTGGGGGAGCCAGAGTCTCTCCTGGGCAAGCAATGGACACAAGGACACCGGATGGGATGCAAGTCCAGTTCAGGGGACACACAGACAAACATGCACACACTCACACCAGGGCCAATTTTCCAAGAATCCAAAAAACCTACCTGTACGTCTTTGACCTGTGGGAGGAAAACGGAGTGCCGAGAGGAACCCATGCAAACACGGGGAGAACATACAAACTCCATTCAGATAGCACCCCAGGACTTGAACCCAGGGCCCCAGTGCTGCAATGTTTGGCTTCCTAAATACCCACAATACATTGTCCCTTTCTACTGATTTCCACTAACTTCAAGATGGAAACAAATAGCTTTATGTGAGAATACTTCTTTATATTTCTTTTTGAAATCCATGGTTCATACAAGCAAAATTGCATTCAAAATATAATGTCTCACACCTGTATGCTCATAAAGGTGGCAAACCACTCTCTCATTTCGGTTTGGGTGTCACAGCAAAGATACCTGCACAAGAAAAGGACAAAGATGAGCTATGAAGTAGAGATCTCACTTAATGTTTACTTCACCGCTATGTTTTTTTTTACCTTTGGGTCAACTTTACACACTTAAAACCAAATCATAACAGAGAAAAACATGCTGAAGTTCTCATGCCAACAAAACACAAAAACCGTGAAAGTGTGGTCTATTTTGAGGTCAGGAGTACACATTGGTATGGCAGCCTTAATCGTTTCACAAAACGTGTTGGGAAATGACACAGAAAATCTTCAAACTTGGATGGGATGGCTTTATTACTCCATTCACCTTTACCATGCTTGTATTAGCTGTTAAATATAGAAATTTCTTCTACATGATTGAAGGGTTCCCCCAGAGTTAGAATGTAATCTTTAAATAAAAATTAATTCATCTTTAAATTGGTCAAATAGAATAATCTAGGTGTTCAGGTGTTTCAAAAAGATCTCCAACAAAGATCTACTGAACAGGTTTAATTGCAATCTTGTTTCTTATATCCTGAAATGTTCTTGATCAGGTTAAGAGTCCAGATTGTAATTTATTTTTCCATGGAGAAGAACAGAAAGGATGTTTTTTTTTTTAATATATAAAACACTTTAGTGCATATCTAGTTCATATTATGTCACCAGTAGTGTTTAATGCTGGCATTAGGAAACACTGAAGCAGACAGCTTACACAATCACGTGTTTCCAACTAAGAAATATGTTTAATACAGTTACAGTATTGATTTTTCTCTGGGGACATTCGCTATGATCATGCACAATCTTATCTGATGCTCATTATTTCTAAAAATGGCAGAGCCATGTTTCTTCCAGAGAGAAAAATATTACCAATTACATTCCAACTGTCTAGCCAGCAGAAGTGTCCTATTACGTTATATATCCTACGTGACAGGATTTATTTAGTGTGCACTGAGGTAAAGATATGTCAGAAGGATTATTATATTATACTGAAATCTAATCTATCACGATCTATCATAATGTGCTTTTAAAATCAAGAAAGCCATCTCAGAGCTACTTTAACATAAGATATCTTTGTGATGCAATTTTTATATTTCGATTTGTATCCTTCTAGGTATGAAAAAAGAACTTATTTCGGTTGCCTATTCAGGCTGTAATTGGCCATAACTATCCGTTCTTATGAAAAGCACAGATTCTTGCATCATCAACCCCCAAAATTATTAGCATACACATAATGTACAGTGGCAAAAGTTTGAATGTAACAGTTTTGCAAATTTTAGCAACAAATCTCAACATTCTAATCATCTCTATAACTAAAGCAAATCGCAAAAGCAGGTACTGAATGGCAATGAACATTTGGCAACTTAAAACATCATTCTTTCTTACAGATTGAGACAAGGCGGAAAAAGGTAGCTTTCAATGAAGTGTAACAAAAACCAAATGACCAATGGGAAATTTAGCTCCACATCAGTAACAACCATGCTTCTACTGTAAAGAGTTACACACAGGTCTTCGGTACAAGCAAAAGATCTATTCTCCCTTCCATTACAGCAATTCGATGGCTCAATCGAATGACTGTCACTGGATATACAGCAGCCTCTTCCTCTTTTCAATCTACAGTGCCCAACAACCATCTCCTTACTCTTATTTGGAATATGTTCTGTTCCTAAAATGGTGGTTTTACCATTCTGAACACATTACAGAAGTCTCTGCCTAAAGTGAGGAACATATTTGTCAGATACCTTGTTTTTCCATCTACGTACCATGTGGGACTGTGATAAAGTATTTTTATTTTGAAAATAGAGAGAGCACCAGCACCGTGTGTAACATTTTGTTCTAGTTATTATATCTTGCTCAGAATCGATGAGTCATTCTGAACCTATTAAGAGGCTTTCAGAGGTCACAACTCTCTGGAGTAATCCCTTTTTTCTGTTACTGTCTTTCTAATCAATCCCATAGTTCCCTAAACAATAAAATGAGACTATGCCAAGTGTGCTGTAGTCTTTGAGGCACTCAGAACATTTCGCTCAGGTCAAAACCTGCAGACTTAGTGTGAGGATGCAGATTTAATGTTATCTACATGTATATCTTTATCTTTTAGCCGTAAGAGTGGGATGCCATTTAAGGAGAAGAGAATAAAAAAGCAGATCTGTTTGTTCAGAGGAAGTGAAGTGTTCAGTGAGAAGAACTGCTAGGGGGCTGTAGAATGTACAGTAAGTGAGGGGAACCTCTTGAGTTCTCACACCATAGAGCAGCAACACCCAAATGGGAACCGACAGGAGTGCAGTGAGTAGAATAGTATTCGCGCCATGTCTCTCAAGTTCTGTCCTACAAACTCTAGTCAAGGAGTGCTGACCCGTCCCTGTAAGCTCAGCATCTCTGCTTTATGCCTTGTGACAGGACTACTTCCTGGCTGGACTGCTGCCACCTGTGAGGTTCACAGCGCACCGCTGGGTGAAGCTCAGAAGCACTCAGGCCTTTCATTTACATGTCTGCATTCCAAAGCACACAACCTTTCCTCCATCACTTTAAATGTCATTGTGACCTATTCCATCCGGTTTACCATCACTTGAATTTCTGTTTAGCCTCCAGACCAGAAACCTGGGTGAGGGGAGGAGGGGGCCATTGACTTGAACAATATTTTTCAAAACACTAGTGGCTTTTCTTTCCACACAACATTTAAGCTTTTCAGTTGACTGACGTGGTAGATGACATTGATGTGACATTTGATAGAACTATAGCTTAGGTTTTCATTTGAATCATTGTCAATCACCTGTCTAATTGTGTTCCTACAATCTGGAAGTACCAACTTTCTATAAGAGCAAAGGAAGCCCAGATCTTGTGAAAGCCTCAGGAACACCACACTGTGAAGATACCCTGGCCAATCCATAGAGCCAATTGTACAATGACAGTAAGCTAGAGACATAGCAGACTGGACTAAAACACTAGACCTAATCTAAACAAATGAGTGTCTTCAATACATGAGCCTTTCAGAAGCACGCCACCCCCATAATTCTGTAGTACAAGAAGTGGGGTTTATTTTCTTCTGTTGCTTTGGTGTACATACAAGTATTACTGCCATTTAGTGATGTTGTTCCTAATATATAAAACTTAAATATCCCTACTCTGAATAACTGTCAAGATAGGACCATTTGATCATTAAGATGCTAAAAACAGAAAAGCCTCCTTCTCATCAATGTGCACTTATAGGAAGGACTCCATCCTCAACCTTAATAAACAATATGAATCATTTAAACTGCATCATCCTTTAAGGCACTTACCACTGCTGCTTTTCTTGTTTCTCATTCTGATATACAACTGTCAAGCCCCAACTAAAAAATAAGTAAAAACAGTTACAACTTACAGATTGTTCTCTAAAAGGTGCTCAATTTAGATAACTAGATTTTTACAGCTCTGTCTCTTTGCTGTTAAAGGCACTGATAAAGAAAATGAGTCAAACAAAAAGTACACATCTCACCAGACATTTACAGCATAAAGCAGGGCCCCAGTTTGCTTTTGGCAGCATCAGTTTGTAAAAAACTGGCATACACTGCTATTACAGCCATTGAGCAGATATGGAAGATCATACTTTATATGGAAACATGTTATAAGATTCAGTAACTGAGCAGCAGAATTACATGATACAGTCTGGCTACAGCAGAGCAAAATGAATGAAGCTCAGTGTAAAATATATTGCAAAATATAAAGAATAAAGCCTTTCTAATGTTTATAGCTAAAGACATTCGGGATTCAGAAAACTAAAGATGATCCCAAGGAAAACAGGTGAACATGAAATTGCTTACAGTGATGAGAGAAATACCTTCTATTCACAGAATGATTTTGCCCCCTAGTGACAGACTAGTCAAAGCATATCAGAGAAGCTTGCAACACTCAGCAAATCACCCTGGTGCAAGCAATTAAAAAAAAAGAGCATTTAATGTCTTTGTCTATACTGGTACGCAAAGATTAGCATGACTGTGATTAGAAAGTATCTGAACAGAGGGCATATAATTCCTCCCCTCAAGAAACATTTGCAGGGTTTAAGAGTACCTGGGCGGTGCGGTTCCTCTGTGGCTAAGGATCTGCGCCTGTGGCTGAAAGGTTGCTGGCTCGTATCCCGCAGCCGGCAGAGGAATCCTACTCCATTGGGCCCCTGAGCAAGGCCCTTAACCCCAACTGCTCCAGGGGAGCTGTACAATGGCAGACCCTGTGCTCTGACCCCAAGCTTCTCTCCTTGTCTGTGTGTCTCATGGAGAGCAAGTTGGGGTATGTGAAAAGACAAATTCCTAATACAAGAAATTGTATATGGCCAATAAAGTGATCTTACCTCATCTTAAGAGTACCCCAGCATGAAGGAGAACTACCTTATATAACAAAGACAACACATGCGGGAAAATCTTGAAGTTGCATAATCCTCACCAAGTTGGAGGTCGCAGTTTCTTCTTAATTCCCTGGTATACCTTTAGTGATTTGACGGCCCACTCTTTCTCTGGCCGATGGCTCTGTGTAGAGAGAAGAGATTTTTAATGATGCTGTTTGCGCTGCAAAGCGCTGAAACCAAGGTCAGAAAACCAGACACTTTATTACCGTGAGCAACAGAAAAGAGGAAGGGAACTCAGTCTGATCAAAAAGTATGATCAAATCTTTTTTTATTATTATTCCTGTAAAAAAGGATGATATTTTGGGGTTAAGGAACTAAAAACATGCAAAACAAAGGGCAGTAAATAACTTAAGGACAATAGCCAATAACATCAAGCTTCTGAGAAGCCTCCGATATCAATGGTTTCTCTAAAGCTCATGGAAACAGTGCACACCAATCTAACATACCTTGCACCTTTTGTTTAGGAAAGGGAGGGAAATATTTATTCTTTGCATAAGTCTAGAAATGGTTGCTTTTGGTGGTATTAAAAAAGGATTTCCTACACATTTTGAGGTGTCACAATTCATAATACCTCTTTAGAGCAAACGCTTAGAATGCAAACTGGTTTTGAACAGTTACCTGGTTAGAACACCCTAAAAGAGAGAACGAGACCTACACCACTCTGTTTCCTACCCCATGCTGAGAAGTCTCCAGATGAAAAACAATTAATAAATCAAAACATCAAAAAAGCACCATCACCACCACCCAGAAGAAATGTGTACTTACACACTGCAGCTCAGGAATCTGGAGCCTTTGAATACTCTATGTGGGACACAGAGAACTACAGTATTTAAGGCAAATCTGTCTGGTCTGGCTTTGCTTTTTATTTTTAAAATAAGGTAAAGTCAAGCATCATGCTTTTAAGCCTGGCTTAAAAAAACCTTTCACAACGAGGGCTTCAAAACGCAAGTCTGACCAATGAATATTTGCACAGTATGCTCAAATATCAGTGGTTGAAAACCCAAGCCATCTCCAAGACGAAGAAAGTCACGCTTCTCAAATATCACATTTTCAATAAACACTTATAAACCAAAAGTGGATGTCTATCTACTTTATCCCTGACAGATAAAGGCAGCCAGATAAACAAATATAACCTTTACACAACAAAATATGATTTGTCCTTTGATCCCCTGAAAGAATTCTCAGCCATTATTTTAAGGTACACTTTAAATGTGATGGCTGCATGAACAGCAGAACCCTTGGTACTGTACAGAAAATAGGGTGTATATCATATTTTGTCTGTCACTTTTCATGTAGTGTTTCTCAGAATTTACCACCGTCCATCAGCCAGCAACCTTTAACAGAAGCCAAAGTAGCTCCAAAGTAGCTGTTCAGCAGCCAGCAGCCATATCACCCTGCAACTCACAACTGGGAACCCACTGAAGCTAAGCAGGTGTGAGCCTGGTCAGTACCTGGATGGGAGACATCCTGCGAAAAACTAAGGTTGCTGCTGGAAGAGGTGTTAGTGGGACCCTGCGGTCCATGTGGGTCCTAATGCCCTAGTATAGTGATGGGGACACTATACTGTAAACAGGCGCCGTTCTTCGGATGAGACGTAGAACCGATGTCCTGACTCTCTGTGGTCATTAAAAATCCCAGGGCATTTCTCGAAAAGAGTAGGGGTGTAACCCCGGCATCCTGGCCAAATTTCCCATTGGGCCTTACCAATCATGGCCTCCTAATAATCCCCATCTATGAATTGGCCTCATTACTCTGCTCTAATCCCCACAGATAGCTGGTGTGTGGTGAGCGTTCTGGCGCACTATGGCTGCGGTCGCATCATCCAGGTGGATGCTGCACATTGGTGGTGGTGGAGGGGAGTCCCTTTTACCTGTAAAGCGCTTTGAGTGGAGTGTCCAGAAAAGCGCTATAAATGTAAGCAATTATTATAATTATTATTACTACTCAACACACTGAAAGGTGGGCATTGGACTGCCTACCCGCACTTCTTTGTAGAGTCTCAGAGTGGTGCTGGATAAGATGAAGTATCGGTCATGGAAGCTGCCGGTGTTCAGACCTAAGCCCAGGAGGTTCCTCTCCTCACGGAACTTCATCATGCCATGCTTCGAGTCGTCCACTTTACTAGCTGTTGGAAAAAAATTAAACAGGTTGACATTTTCCATTCTATTTCACAAACCCAACAAGCTGGGTTTCTCAGAAGTGCTGCATCTTAAGCCTCTATAAACGAATCTGACCATCTTGGGTTGAAAGTCAACCGTTGTCTCCACTTTTTACTTATTTTAAAGCAGCATACCGTTCCGTGGTTGCACTGTTTCCCCAATTCAGGTGCTGCACAACCAGCCTCTCATTTTGCAAAATACCAAAAGGCTAACTGTGAGGCATTGGATCACTACACAATTGTTTCAGAAAAGGAGAATGTCAGAATTTCCATAGAGGAATATCAAGGTCTAGAGACTTGGATAACCTAATACTTGAGAGTTTAGAAGGGCATGGTCAAGCTTCATTACAGAAAAAAATATCTTGGGATACTGATTAAAGTATACGTCTGAGAGTTGCTCTGTATTTTCATTCACTGTTCTATTATTGCCACCCGAGACATATACGACACAATTAAATATATTCAATACCTGTTCCATTTATTTAAAATGGAAGATCAAATCAAATTATGTTGTTTTGAAATGGGATGTGTTTTCTTTTTTATCAAAGTATTTTATATATGCATTCTAACAAGAATATAGCAGTGGTAAACAGATTATTTTTAATAGACTTAATTTTCTCTGCATTTATGGTTATTTATCAAATTATGGGTTTAAACATGATGTGCATCTTTAATGCTGCTTCCATATTTTTTTTTCTGTAAAGGATTTTTATTTAAGGTAGAATCACATACTGTAAGAGGCTGTGCAAACCCTGCAAAAAGCAAAAATAATAGCTTCCCAATTATTCAGTTCCCTGTCTTTCCAAATGAGAGAAACACTCACATTCAATCACCCAGGTCACAATGCCATTTGGAACAAGTACTTTGTAACAGGTGAACTGTGCTTTAATCCATTCTTATTCCATATTCTAATAAAAAAAAAATCTTATAAAATAGAACAACTATCGCTTTTGTTTACCAGACTCACATTTACATTGTGTCATACTTCCCTTTTAAAAGCACTGTGCTCGCTTTGTGCTCGCTTAAAACAAAACCAGATCAGATCTCACATCCCCTCTCTGAAAAGCGAAGGTCAAAGTCAAAAAGGTGTTTGTCAGGGGGTCATGTTACTTCCCTTCCCCCCCCACACAGTTAGCAATAAACAAATGTTTAATGAGAAGAAAAGAGAACCACAATAAAAAAAAGCTAACATATGGTTTATGAATTCAAAGTCTCTGCTCCTTTGGGTCTCATTAGCTCAGCTCACAATGTACAGTGCAAAGTACGGTAAATCTGTCGTAAGCAGGTTTTGTTTAATGCCTGGGCTTCCAGTTTATGTGTCTTGTCGAATCTCATCTCAGTCCTGGGTTAAATAGAGGAGGGGGAAGAGACTTCTGTACGGCCTAACATGCTAGTACCCCATTTGGGTAAACACTTCAAACAGAAAACACTACTGAATAAATTAATCTTCTCTACTAATTGACAAAATCAGAACAGCAGTCCTGATGTGAGGCAGTCTAATTAGGTACTTGAGCAAATTAATTTGCTCAAATGGATAATATGGATCCTTTTGCAAAAGTGTACTAATCTCTTGTGCCAGATTGTACTTAATACCTGTTTATAGGCACAGCTCCAGCTAATGCACTGCACATACCCAGATATATAAGCATGGCTTCCATAGAGAAGTGCTTCTTCACTACCACACAGCTTTCTGTTCCCATTGAGTGAAGGATGGGCAGCACCTTCTCCTGGTAGTGTAATGGTCGCTCTGTGAGGGGAACAGGGTGGACAACGTATAATTAGAACAACACTCTGCTTAGAGAACAATTCTACAGGTGAGGCTGCCCCACAAGAATACAGGAGAGAGATTTAATAAAAAGAATGTTACTCTATTTTTGTTTCATTTCAAGATCGTTTTCCATTTAGGCTTGATTTTAATGTGCATGTTAATTCCCTCAAAATCCCTAATCAATGCAAATAAATCATCACAGCTCGCTATATACTGTACATCAAAAGGAAAGGAAAGCTCTGTATCCCAGGCGCACCTGTCTCTTCCTTCTCGTTCACCTCGAAGCAGCACCAGTAATCCTTGTCTCGGACTGCAATTTTTCGCCGGTCCAGAATCTCAAAGGCTAGTTCCGCTGCCGTCATGGTAGCTGGGATCTAAGAATGTGGGAGAGAGCAGCCCTGTCAGACACAGGCCAAGCATGGAGTGTTTGTCGTCACCTTCATCAAGGTACTGAAAAATGAGAGCTAGGCTGAAAAAACAGCAAGACTATTTCAGTAACATTTCTTCAAGGTATAGTCACTCTAGAAGGTAGGCAGAGAGTTTAAAAATAAAGTGCAGTATAGCGGACAGTATTGTTGCTAATGACTATCAGCTATTTTAGCTAGCATACAATTTGCTACTGTATGTATATCTAAGAACAAAGGTTATGATGTTCAAATAACGTTATTCGTATTGTAGCCAGTATATTGTACAATAATGAAGTTAACGCACACACCTTTACATGCTGTTCAGCCGTCTCCTTTTTTTCCTCCAGGTAAACTGTGCAAATAAAATCCCCCGCATGCTAAAAAGAATAATATTTTAAGTGATGCAGTTGTGAAAAGAGACATGCATTACAATACACTGTACACTGTCCAGTGATCTTTTTGTTGGTAATCTATGCAATCTCCAAAGTCCAACGGTAAACGTTTTCCAAACCCAACCCTCACAACCAAGTCAAAAAATGATACAGCACAAGCCTCCTGAGAAACCAAAGCTATTAGTTTTAAGTCAGATATGAAACTTAATAAGTCAAATACTTTTTCTAGATTTCCATTTATTTCCTTTCACAAAACTGGTAGTAGCCTGATTTTTTTTTAAAAACACCCTATTACATTTTTTGTCTATATAATAACCACAATTTATATGTATAAAAAGAATCAATCTTAATAGCAAAGAAAATAACCTGCAGGCAACCGAATGTTACAGAGGCCGATAAGTTTCTATACCTGTAAGTTTACACAAAGCAACATCCACATCTTAGATTAGTAATGCCTTCTAAAATCCTGTTTACTTTGTAACACGCAATAAAAAGGGAAAAATTACTTCTCTTTCTTTTTGATTTTGCGGATAAAACTAAAGTATCACACAGTAAAAATTACAAAGTAGGACTGTCCACTGGAAAGCCAGTGTGTCTGCAGGTTTTCTAGGTCTCATTAAAATAGCAGAGCATGACAAGTTGAGAGAAGCTGTAGAACTGGTCCAATGAAGCCAATAATAAGCTGAATTGCAATGAAAATCTGCTGACAGACTAGCTCCTCAAAGACCTGCTGTAGATTGGGCATCCCTGCTTCATTGCTTGAGACAAGCAAAGTACTGAATCCATCCTACTCTTCACACTTACTTGGGCCTTGCTGCTGGAGTTAATTTCCCGTAGCTTAATGATGGCTGTGATCTCATCCAGCTGTTTCTTTAGTTGCTGTTCGTTCACCTGTAGGAACAGTGTGCCATACTGTTATACCACCAGCCAGCCACTAGACTGCAAATCAATGTGAAAACTACAGATGGCGCCACTACACGGCAAAAGCAGCAACAAGATTTTTTATGGTTTCCAACCACCGGTTCCTCCAAGCCTACGGAGATCAACGCCGCGAGATAAACAGTATATTTTCTTTCATGGCACTGAGGTGAACGGGAAGTTTATTTTATTTTCAACACAGAATGCCTACAGCTACTTTGAGGGTGGCAAAATTGAGTTTTGCCAGTAATCTAACAACTTAAAGATAAGACAAAGTAAAGGAATTAAGAGTGCTTCAGATTTCTATAGCCCTGGTGTACAACAGACAATACTAGGTATACAGCACTAAACAGGCTTGTCAAATTAAAAAGAAAGAAAAGCCATTTCAAAATTTCTTCACGTATCATGTTACTGCGAAAACATGAAGCATTTGCAGTCATTCTTTTTATCTAAGAGAAAAAGTCCTACAGTCCAGACTCACATTAAAAATAGCCACATAGAGGCCAATAAGTTCCTCAATGACTCTGCCAGCATTGTAGTCCTTGCCATCAGTCTGGAAGAGCGTAGGTCCGAAAACAATGGCCAGGTTGTGCAAATTCATCTGATTCATGTCTGCAAAACGCTGGACACTACAAGAAGGAGAAATACATTCAGGCTCAGAAACATTCTTAATTCTACTTCCACAGTTTCCCTTTTTCAGGACTTTCAAGGCAAAGCCAAGTTTGTAATGAGAGGACTGTAAGAACACCCATGTTTAGCCGAGTCTGTAATGCTGAGGCACAGTTTCGCATTTTCTATTGTTCAAATACAATCATATTTCCCTCCTGCAGAATGCAGCCAGAGCTTATTCATATACTGCATGATGTGAATTAGAGGACACATACCAGTACAGGTGGTTGACAAGAGATTTCAAAGTGGCTTTGTTGACTCGCGGCAGGTTGTTCAGCAAAGACTGATATAAAAGGATCTTCTGGCTCTCATCTGCTACAGCTGCCGGTGACAATAGGTGATATTTTTATTTAATCTCACGGAGAACTACAGGTGATTAGATGAAGAAAAGCCAAACTGCAAGCCGGACAGCTAACACGATATGGAGACATAACATTCTGGGTGTTTGAAACAATGCACACCAGCAAAAATGGTTTTAACATCTATGAAAAGCAATTTAAAAAAGAAAGAAGCTCGAGAAACAATCTGCAACTGAAAGAGAAGCACGTTCAGAAAGCAAACATCTTTTGTGATCCTGAATGAAAGCAATCTCAAAAATGCTGCTTCATACTCATCAGCCATGCTGACTACCTCAGCAAAGGTACTCTTTCCTGTACAGTTCAATCAAAGAGTGTGCATGGAACAGCTGGACAAATCTCAGGGTGGCGTAACTGCGCTTCAGCACCTTGTGCAACTAATTTCATTTGCAAAACGTTCTCTTAAACTGCCAACTGGTCAGCTTTGTGACGCGCTAAAGTAGCAGGAAAGGCAAAAGGGGAATCGCCAGGAACACATCACAACCCACCCACACCCAACAAGGAAGATACAAAAATTGCAGCGCATAGAAAAACGCTGTTCAAAGGCCAATCACTTCTCAGTTCAGAAACTGGTCATTTCTCAAGGCTCCCTCACATGTGGAGCAGCCCATTTTGGTGACTTACTGTACGATCGAGCAGATCGGTACAGCGGAAGTGAAGCCAGTGCCACAAGCTTCCCCTTGAATTACTTCTGGTGTTCTACATACCTGGGGTGTTGAGCCACTCAACAGCAGCCCCGCTGGTGAAGATGCCCTCTTTCACATCTCTGAAGAACCTCTTGAGCACATTAGACACATCATCCACCTGGTGCTCTCCTTCCTTCAGTCGCACGCTGCGAGCGTCCTTCCGGAAAGACTCCAGCAGGCTGGCAATCTTGGAGTTCACCCCACTCTTCCGATAGATCCCCTCTGAAGTCAGCCCTGTGGGTCACGAAACAGGAGAAGTACGGAGAACATTCATGTCTATTACCAAGCAAATACAAACGACAGAAAGGCATTCCAAGTTTCTTTTACAATGCACATGCTGGAAGCACATATACACATACAGGGATCAGACACGCACACATTGATTATTGTAGCTTCATATTCTATTAAAAATTAATTTGGAGGGGGGGAGATTTATAAAGCAGGGTATGCATTGGAAGTAGTGAAGGAAGCCAAAGAGCACGACAACACAGCAACCAAAAGTGTTTTCTGTACAGATCCTCCTATCCATCATTTCTTGTGTAAGTATGTGTTAAGTGGGCGGATTCTCCATGCATACTGTATACTGGTATTCCCAGAAATATTTTTGTGCTTCACCGAAGTTTGATTCCAGTGTAATAAGAGTAAAATTTACAAAAAGTACTACATTCTCATCAAAATATTTATCTAATTATTTTCTTCTCAAGAGGATGCATCGAACACACCAGTGCACAAGAAAATAAACTACAATGTACAAAAGGTATAGCTGCGCCTCCGCAGTGGAGATAATGAAAATGGAAACCATATATAAATATATGAAACTTCAATAAACTTCAAATCAATGAGGCCTTAGCTCCCCTGTGGGCAAACTGCCTACTCACTGCAAAATAATATGATAGGTTGTTTGCTCCTGGTGTTTGGAAGGTCAGTCTTTAAAATCAGTAAATTTACATTCCTAAGAAAATACTTTCTTTCGAAGGCTGGATTCCTGGTGAGGTGTCAAACTACTCTGGGACTGAGAAACCCTTTATAAGACATCAGTTCCCAACAAGGAAGCATTTCTTTGTCAGCACAGTTGCTGAAGTGAAAACACAACAACATTACCACGCGATCCCTTGGGGAAGATGCGATGGCTCGTTACTGGGAAATTCTCTGATTAAACTCTGACTGCCAAGAACCTTCAGAAATCATCGCCAGCCTCTATTTCAAGCAAGTCATGTGATCACACGAAGCCAGTTCATTCCACATTTAAAAAATAAATGTGGCAATGCAGTGTTTTGCACCATCTTTCTCTTGAATCTGATTATCTGCTCATTCCTTTTGCATTATAACTGGCAATGCTACATTGAAAAACGTTGCCCTACATGAAAGACTAGATGATTCAAGTTGGTACGAATGGAGCATGACAGCAATTTCCAGTGTGCTTGCTCTACTGGAAAACAGTAATATTAATCAGTAACAATAAGCCGAGACGAAAGTTAGATGGCTGAGGAAAGAATGTTACAGGGCTTCTCAAGCTAAAGAAAGGATCATTAGATAGTGAACACATTATTAACAGATTAGATAATCACACTGAATCAGTATGTGTAAGAAATGTACTGTGCCGAGATTCTGTGAGAAGGCAAGGGCAATATGTATTATTAATATGCTGTAGGCACAACAGGAGCAGGAGAGAGAGGTCTCTCAAAACCGCAAGTAGAACCTCCTGCTCACCGCACTGCGTGATGTAGTCGATACACCTGTCCACTATCACCGGTATGTCTGACTCTGTGAGCTGCTGCTGGCTCAGTGTGTCTCCTGAGCTCCCTGCTGCCCGCTGGATGGCTGTTGACCAGCCCAGAAAATCCAGCTTCCGATCCCCTTGGATGTACAGTGTCCTGCCGAGAGGAAAATCATTGCATTAGCACTCGGCAAGCATCTTAGAAGCGTCTTCCTCTCTGGCTAAACAAGGCTCGGCCAGCGATTTGTGGAAGGGGTCCGAATATAAATAGTCCTGCTACAGTCCTCAAGTTCAGAAAGGGTTTTCTGAGCAAGCCAAGAGGTTCAGACATTATCCTATCAATTGTTTCTCCAAGGGAACATGCATTTTTAAAAGTTTCTTTGCAGCTGATCGCTATAAAGACCGACTTAAGAGACAGTAGACAGTTTGAGGTCCCATCAGAATAATGGCAACTCATTAAACAATCACAACAGTTAATTAACAGAGCTCTGGTAGAAACGGAAAAACAGAGAACACATCTGGTTCTCTTTAAAGCAGTGTACAATTCTGTCCATGCATCACTTCATCTAAATGATCATAACAAAGAAGATTTTTACTGGGGAGTTTGCAAATATGCTATAGGAATTTATCAATGCCGAAAAACCCACCTTCTTCGCTCCACCAACACAAGTACTTCATTTTCCTGTTGAATTGCTGAAGAAAGAATTACAGACATAATAATTATTTTTCACTCAGCGAGTATTGTAATATCTAAGTTAGACAACGACACCTACAGGAGGGTATATCATCCCAGGTCATCACATTGTAGAAAAGATATTGCTGTTGTGGAATCAGGCCAGACAAGAGGAACCAGATACAGTACATTCTTGGGAGTACATTCTTATAAAGTCTTGATACAAGTACTCAAAGTTCTCACTGCCATACCCTTGAGTAAGTAAACCCAGCAGACATTTTCAAAATGAACAGTGAAACACAAACCAGAGAACACAAAAGGAATCTCTGGAATCAGAAAGGAAACTCATTTATATTTAAGTGGAAGTGCACTTAAAACTGAGAAATGGAGGTACTTCTTTACCTAGAGGGTTGTGGAAATATGGAACAGCTATCCAGCCGTTGAAACCAAAATGGATACTTTCAAAAAAAGCCTGGATGAGATCCATGGAGCAAATTGCCAACTAACTACTTAATGGGCTAGATGGGCCACAAGGCATCCTCTTATTTGTAACCTTTCTTACGTTCCTCACTGGCTTTAGTAGTCTTCAGTGGCAGTAATACTGTAATCAGACTTTTTGAATTTAGTGCTCATCGACAGATTGGTTAAGAAATTCTCTAGCATGTTCCCTGTACAACACAAAGTTCAATATTTTTTCCCCAAAATGTACAAAATAAAAACAATTGTGAGGGAAGCTCAATTCTTAATCAAACTGGCCTGTGAAGTGCTTTATTTGTGGTTTGTCTTTCTCCTTTCTATTACCAACTACTCTCTTCATTGAGCAATAGTACCATTACGACACATTTTGGAAAACCTTAGTAGAGATCAGGAAAAACATTAACACTGCTGTCTCACGGAAAAATCAGCTTTAAGTGATTTAGGTGATTTAGTGAATAAAGGTATTCCAAACTTCAACACAAAAACTAGTCGTCAGTACTCACACAGCTCCTGTAGTTTCTTCAGGTGAATAGCCTCCTCCCCTTCACTGTCTTCAAAGCAGGCGTGCAGTGTGGAACCTACCAGAGCAAACCAGCCTGTCTTGGCACTCTGGAGGTTCAGTCCGTCCTTATACTGCAGTTTTCCGATCCTTTCAAAATCCCAGTTCAGCAAGTCCTCTGCACTGGATGGGATAAAAGACTACAGAGAGGAAGAGACGAGACAGTGCCATTAGAATTATCTTAGCACAAATGTGGAAGGAAAGTAAGAGCGAATGGTCAGAAAACTGATACTTTACAAAATAAAATAAAAATTAAACAATTCATACCATTGGTAGCAAATCAGTAGGCCAGATCATAGTTCCTTGAACATGGCATCCCATATTCCATAGGATACTCAAAAAATGGCACTTTATTTAAAACCACTCAACCTAATTTAATTTATTTCTCCCTGCCTTTTATTTTATTTCCTCACTCTTGTACTCTACAATTTCTAGTCTTCTATACCATTTACTATGTTTTGTTCCACGCTAAACCTATTATCTTTAACTGCCAATTCTTCATACCTCCTCATTTCCAAATCACCATTTTGGTTCCATGGGCATTTAGAAAATGTAACATTGCAAACAAAAACAACAATGTTCTCCTTTGGCTCTCAGGACAATAATGTCGTGAACAAAAAAAGCATACATTAAAACACAGGAAGAATGAAAAACTTTGTGAAAATAAGTAATCCAATTTTGAATTCTTTACTTCTGAAGATGAATACAGTTCACGTAAGAGTAACAGACTGGAAACTAGCTTGACACCCCGTTCAGTGCAAGGCCCATGGAACACATTTAAGGTCACTTTAATGTTAAGAGGAAGTACAAGAGATAAAAATAAACCCCGTACAAAGAACAGGTTTTGGAGTCTTGTGAAATGGGCCAATCTGATTTCCAGTGGCTGCTTGAGGGGGAAAGGGCAGGGACTGTAATCTTGTAAATAGCACAATTTGACAGGTCTCACTTGTTCTGCTGTTTTAATTATGAACTATGTCAAAAAAGAGGGCAGAAACTGGGAATCCCTTTACACTGATCCTTTCCTCATGAACATCACTCCTGCTTTTGAAGAACATCTTCAAACATAAACACAGTGAGAAGATACAGATGCACAAGAGATAGAACAGTTACAAAACATACCAATATTATAGAGTATAGCTAAGAAGCGATACTAAGTTCTGGGCCTAATGAAGAGACTGAAAGCACTTAACAGAACACCTGCAAAAAAAGCTGATTGAGTGCAAAGCCCCAAAGAGTCCAAGGCCGGCACCCACATTCTTACATTGGACAATCACTCTGTAGCCACATCACATTACTTTAAAAAAACAGAAAATACCTTGGCAATAGACTTCACCCATTCTCTCATGTGCTCCGAGTTATCCGTTCCAAACAGGTAAAGCCGTTCCAACTCTGTGTAAATCTCAAATGTATAGTCATATCTGAAAGACAGAGGATAAAAACTGCTAAAAAAGCCATCTTAAAATGAAAAGATGACAACAGTACACCCTTTATTACTACACTCTAGAAGGAGTTTCCAGGGTGAATTTTCACATTTCTGCCCCTCTAAAAATTAGAACAGGCTATCTTCAGAAGTTATAACCCTTCGAATCACCTATAGTCATGTTGAGCTACTCCCTTCGATATGGAAAACAGTCTCAAAACTTGCAAAGAGCAAATCACCAGCTTTTGCCAAAAATCTAGAAATGTTTCCCAATTTTGATAATCAAATTCCAGCTTCAATAAATTCAGAAGGTTCTAAGAAAATCAAACATTTTCTGTTTTTGAGGAAAAGGAGCAGGCATCGTATAGGCATGTACATAGCCATGATAAATAAACAAATTGACGACAATGACTGTTTAGAAAACTGTCCCGCCAGCACAACAAAGTTATCCTCTTTTTGGAGAACTGCTTTGTGAAGATCAATATGCGTACCCATGTTTTTCTGGAGGATTGACTACAAGGCAGGCGACATCCTTCATCTTGAGTTCCCCATTGGGTGTGGAATTTCTGTCACTGTCATAGTAGCTGAAATTCCCATCGTTCAAAGTGCACCACCGCCGACTAAATTCTGAAAGCATTATAGAGATTTTAAACCAAATGTCACAAAGCACATTTTTCTCTTCTAGCCTGGGACAAAAATCAGTCTTGAATATCACATTTATCATTAATGGTTTAATATATGGAGATCTCAAACCACCTTCTTTAGCTTTCCGCTCTGTGATAGGCTTCCCCATGGAGGCAGTCTTGTACAGAAATCCATTGTGTGTGATGGAGGGTGGAGCCATGTAGTGCACTGTGTCCATGTGACCTCCCACCTCCGACCTCGGAATCTCTGGAAGCAGAGGGAAAAATCATTGATCAGAGCATCTATCCTGGTTTTCTTCCACTTTACAGGTCAATAACAGTCTGCATTCCTCATCATTTCCTTCAGCATGAATCCGAATATCAGCCACTTTCCTTGTCAAAGTAAGATTCAAGCAGAATTATTTTAACAGCATTCAATGTTATTTTCTGCAGTGCAGCATAAATGGAGGGAAGCTTGAACAGTAAACCTAAACTGCACCACTGGAAGCATAAGCACAGAAAATATTTCATGTTCAACTTACAGTGCAATTCTTAAAGCCTAGAGCAGATTGATAAAAAAATAGTTTCTTTTGAAAAACATATCAGCAGATGAGGGATTTAGAATATACTTAAGAAAGCCTTTAAAATTGCTTATAAACTTTAAGAAGCTGGCAAATGGAAGCTCTTTATACTCTCTAGAGTGAAGTGAGTCACCACCTTCATATTCCAATAAAAAAGTTGCTCTTTCTTAATTGATTGGAAGCTCAATTTGATTTGACAAAGTGCTGCAGTGGAATGGACTAGATAAAATGACCACACGTTGAGAGAACAGGGAGTTCAGCAAGGGACAGGAATTTCCACTCACCTGTGTTTCTGTTCTGAGTTAGGAATTCCACCTGGAGTTTCTGGTCATAGCTCTGAGCCAGGGAGATGGGAGTGGGGAAATCAGGATTTCCTGTGTCGCAGTTCACATTGGCCCCACAAAACACCAAAGACAGAGTTTCCAGCACATCATCTGATTGGACGTTGATGCACAGAGCCTAAGATCCAAAGATACAAGAACTGAAAAATCTAATTTCTTTCTTAAGGACATGTGCAGATGAAGAGATAAGCTAATGTACCAGGCCTAGACTGGAAGTCACAAATAATGCTGGTACCACATTCTGACCAGAGGAATTCATTACAGGAGGATTCAGAACTCACAACCACTTATTTTGTGGTGTGAATGACCAATAAGGATGCCTAAAATACCACTTTGAAGGTTATTTAAAGAAAATTTCCAGGTGACAATATGGTCAAAGATGTAGAACTCCAAGGGGCAGAATCTCTTTGTTAGATAACTGCAAGAAAGCAACCAAAGTAACCTCTGTTCCATTTCAGTATTACAGTAGGTGCTTTAATTTAAAATAATTAAGTCATAACTCATAAGATTTCTGAGATTTACTGGCATGGCAATAAATTCAGGCTTAGCCATTGTAAAGTGTGGTTCATTATTAATCCCTTTTATATTTTTAAGTGCTTATATCAGTTCAAGAAAAAGGAGAAATGTGAGTAAAATTACAGAAAGGTCTCAAATGAAAGTGATAAAATGCATTCCCACTTAATGCAACTGAATTGTTGAACTAGACTCTTACTCAGACGTTAAATTCCACACAATGTTTTATATTATTTAAATGAACCACATTCTTTAAAAAGATGATTGAGTATAAGACTCATTTGACTGCTGTCACATGATGGAAATAAGAACTAATTTCAACACACAGCTTCAGTTGTAGGGGTGTGACTGCCAGAGAGCTACATTAAGCTGGTACTATTGCATATTATTCTGTGTATCATGCCATATCCATCATACCAAGAAACAAACAAAATGGAAGAAAAATATATGTGGGTAAAGGAGATAGGGCACATGCAAGATATAAATTAGAAAATAAAACACATGAAAACAGCTCACATGCAAGCAGGGAATGCTATACAACTTGTGTGATGCCATTATAATAATAAATAACATAACCACATAGCCTGCATTCAGTTATTTAAAGTATTCTAGCTATGTCAGGTATATATATGAGAATTGTTGTTACATAACAGTTTTCCAGATGGAATTACCTGTAACAAAACAATAAAAAACAATGCTAAAGGTATAAAAACAATTAAATCTAAGAATGTAGGAATTAAGATCTCATGTGTCACCATATTACAAAAAGTCCAGAATAAGTCCAGAGTAGTGTGGCCAGATACATTTCTGGGCTTAAAATCATGTCCAAAATGAAGACCCTAAAAGACACCTGATTTGAGTATTCAGATCCTTAAAGATGCTGACAAAGTTAACCTAGTGGACTTCTTCAGAACCAACAAGAAAACACAAAAAAAAGACATCAGCAGAAAACTAGTGAAGTGCATTTAAAATAGAACATGGAGGTATAATTTTTACACAAAGGATTTCGGCAGTCTAGAACAAGATTTTTGTTCTTTCAACATTATGAAAGGGTTTGTCCAATACATTGTAAGCACTCGACTTCAAAAAGGATAATGTTGAACATTTTTCTATATATTGTTCAGTATATCTGAAAAATGCACCTCTTTACATTTATGCACTACAGCGAACCACATGAGGTGCAAGTCTATGCCTGCTAACTCCCTCTATGCAATACAGTCAGATTCCATAGGAACAGCCAGTGAAGCCGATTTTCAGTTAGCTGGATATCATTGGCTCTGGAATCTTGCCAGTGACCTACAGAAAAGGGAGTTTCCCTCAATAGCGTTAAATGTTCAACCTGATCACTCCAAAGATATGGAGAAACAAGTAGAGCCACCCAGCTAGACAGACTAGGCCTATAGGTCAGTTCTTCCAAGGAGAGGCCAAATGTCAGACAAGCGACTTCAGCTCTGGCAGTCACTGCAGTCATCTGAATCAAAACTGTCAGAGCACATCTCCATCATCAAGGCCAAATTGGCAGAACCACCAGACCAAAGCATCTCTTCAAAGAGTCCCACAATAAAAAAAAAAAACAGAAACTACACCAGTTGCAGATACATTACAGCAATCTCCTACATTACAGCAGTGTAACTTTCTCCAAATGGCAGGCAGTCTTGTAAATTTGGTCTTAAACTAAAGCCACAAAGCACAAAGGCTTTCACCAATGAAAGTCAATGACAATACTCTTTTTTCAAAACCCATGATTTTACAAAAGCTCAGCCTTGTTTTTACCAAACGCAGCAGTAGAAAGGAGGCTTTCCAGTATCATTGGTAGCCGCCAGCCTTCACTTGAAATCATCTCATTCATGACAAAGTGAAGGGGGAGCAAGCTAATACAAATCTTAAACACTTTTAACATATTTTACACAAACATTAAGCAGCTAGCTTGGTTAACTTTTGTAAATTTGGGTATACTGCTTTCCCCAAACTTAGCAACCTCAGCAGCTTCAGTACATATTCGCACACCAGGTTGAAAAGTAATTCAAAAGCCACCTCAAGGAGGACATGACATTTGTGACATTTAGAAAAATGTAAATACCATTAAAACAGCAAAAGTGCTTGAGATTAGGGAATTTAGTCTCATCTTCAACCAGACTACGCACTGTGCTACTTGAACTTTTTTACTGAACTACATTTATCACCAGATCTCCAAATATTGAAGGGGCAATCTATTTATCTACTGCAAACAACCACCAGAGTGTATGCGGACAACCAGCACATGTACAGGAATTTGTACAATTCGCAAATTCAATGGAAAAGAAAGGATTCAACCTAAACAGTGGAAGATGAACTGATTGTGCTTAGGAATATGCCTGTTGCTTCATTATTGCTGTAAGAAAGCCCTGAAAACCAAGGTTCTAAAATACCACTTACAGGCAAACACCCACACAAAAAGAACATTCAAAAGACTTCAGCACAGCTGTACATCAGCTGCACTCTGTACATCACAAGATTTGCAATTCTCAACTTAGTTGCTGTGCTATAGTTCTGACATTCTGCTTCTTACACTGTTTTACAGACAGAAAAACAAGGGCCACATACTATACTATACAGTCTGTTTTCCATGCTATTGAATTTAGTTTTACAACCTAAACTGTTCCTTGCCAGCACCTGTCTCGCACATACAAATTCCAAAGCCTATGTGATTTGTTTTAAATAATTACTTTTTAGTCTGTGTCCTCATAGAGATAACACTTGTTCACAACTTTTGGCTCCTGTGCATGAGATGACACACACTGTAATATAGAAATTTAGAAAGAAAACTAACCACAAATTCCCCTTACACAACAGCTCCGGAAAGCATTCTTGTTTTCCAAGCCAATTCGATAACTACTACACAGTGGGTGCACCCAAAAAAACATTTCTGGTAAGAGTTGAAAGAAATGGATTGAACCATTTAAAATACAAAATTCTTTATTAAACTGAATTTAAGAGTGTTAGTCAAAGGTATCAAGCAAACATTCTAACATAAAATCTCATCTTTCAGGAATACTACTATGAAGTGAAGTAACATACCATAAACATAATACTGCTTTATAGATCATATTTATATCTGAGACAATCGAGACCTGAGAAAACAAGAGACTATGCCAAACCCATCCCTAATGGTCAATAAAGAAAGGAACTCCACTGCTTCCAGCAGAGAAAGTAAAGCAGACAAAGATAAAACAACACACGCTTGCCAAAAAACACAAACAAGCTGATAACAGTGTTTCATCATTCACAAAGACACTGTACAGTGGTTAAAGATTGTTAAAAAATAATAAAAAGATCTGGTACCTACACAACCAATAAAATCTAGTTCATCTTTTGTACCCAAAACTTCAACTGCTGATAGGCCGTGTGGGCTTCAACATTTACAGCAGTGCTATAAAACCCCTTAACTGATGCAATTAAGCCATACAGTAACGTAGTAAATTATAAAGTGTGAAAATAACTGTTTAAAGTTTAAAGTTCTGTTACAAGAAATACAACTCTGTTGCGCATTTTAGGGCTATTTTACTTTAACACTTAACAGATAAAATAAAATCTGAAAAAGACAAAATAAGAAATGAACATTTTAAATGTATATAAACTGGTGGCTGGTTTTAGAATCTTGTGAACCTGTGAACCGAAACAAATTAGTTGCTTTGCTCATGCAGAAAAGTAACAAACATCCAGTAACTCTACTTCACAGGCAGGATTTTTGAAATATTTGAAATAAAAGACTACTTTCAAAGAGTCTGATATCAGAGAGTCATTCCCGTCAAGGTGCAGAACAAACAACTGAAGCAGAACTACACTAGGTTTAAGCATGAAACTTCCTGGACAAAGTCAAACACTATACCTCATGATTATACAAATATCATTGCTTAAAACAGTGCATTACAATAACTCATGATTAGACAAATATCATTGCTTAAAACAGTGCATTACAACTGAGGTTAAGAGTGAACGCTTTCTCCACCGAACAACTCATTAATGAGAGAGAAAGGAACAAAAGGCAGCTTTTTTAATTGCCTCTTTAAATCCCATCATTCCCAAAAGCAGTTTTCCTACACTCACCCATCTACTTTCAAAGCGGCACTGTGAATCGTTCTTCTTCGGGGAGTCAAGCGGAGATAGGGAAGCCCATAAACAGATGGAAAGATACAAACACAAAAAAAAACTAGCCTGGAGCTACAGAATGAGACTTTTTTTCCAGCACCACTTGGCCAAACCCAAACAATGGAAGGGGGGTAGGAAGCAGAGCTAAGAAACATTCCTTCAGAAAGCTCTGATGTCACTGAGGGGGAGGAACCTTCTGCAGTTGGATAAACAAACCAGCATGGCGCATGAATTTAAACCCCGCAGGGTGTCACATTTCGTGCTGGTGGGGACCTGCTGAACGCACAGGATAGGCACTTATCTATTCTAAAGAATAATTCAAGAAATATTTCCCAGGAACTGTGGGAAAGAACAGGCCAGCAGAATGAGAGAACAAAGGGTACATTTAGATTAGTAAAAGGAAATCGATTGTCCATTCAGCTTTAAGGACACAGATAGCAACCTCAGTATCTTTTTTGTCATTTGCTACTGGGATTTATCATTTAAAAATGAATTCACGCTTTCTTGTGGACAAAAATGGAACCAAATTATTTTCCCAGGGCATTACTGCAATGGGCTTTAGCACGCACAGCACTTATTTGCTTAGCCTTGAGCTTTTTCTCAAAGCTGAAAACTGAAACTGAAATTTTTTTCAGGATTGGATTTTTACTAAAAAAAAATCTAGTAGTATTGTAGAGAATAATTCAGTTTGAGGGAAAAACAATTATGCTTTCTGAGCAGAACCACAAATATGTTAGAATAGTTTCTTTTTCAAAAAATGAGACAAAGGCAAAATGCAACGGATCTAAACTGAATCAAAAGGAACATTATCTTCATCAGGTGCGAAGATGCCTCCTTTTGTCTTAAATTCAATGCTATTTTCTTTGACCTGGATACCACCCAGGGTAACGCTGAGAGACGTCTTCAATGTCCAAGAAACTAATGCTTTCTACCATTTGTCCTCCATAAACAACTGATCACTCTTTCTGACACGCCTGAAAAAGGCTCCACAAGCGAATTGCGGCGTCTCTTCTTTTCCTTCCAGCATGGAATAAACCTACCTGTTTCTTTGCTGACACAGATGCTGGACCTATTCAAACTAAATCAGGATTAAACTTCTTCTATGTTGGCTCTGCTCCGACCTACTTACATTTTTCTAGTTGTAGGATGATGCATGTCTCCGTGTATAAAAATAAGCAAACCTTTGTATATGCAATGTCAAGTTGCAAGACAAAGATTCAGACAGAGAAAGGCCCAGTGACTGTACTTAACTACTCTTTCACTGTTCTAAACAGATGAACTGAAGGTGATAAACTTCTGAGCACAGGGCAATTCTCAGCTTACTTGCACCGGAAACAAAGGTTTCAGCCACAGTGGTCTTCAACATTTTAATAATAGATGATAGAGGGCTTATAAAAAAAAAATCCAGTACTAAAAGTCCATTTATTCTGACAACCAGGAAGTTATCTTTTCTCCTGCTTAGTTTAAACAGAAATGTATTCCAGCAATTGGCATATCAGCAACAATACTTCCTGTCATTGTATTCTTGCAGCCAACTGAATCTAACACACTTAAAAAAATCTTTTATGGTTAGATCTCCTTCACCAGGCATGGAACCACACAAACCACTGATCTATACACCACAGTGTTAGACACAGTGACAGGAAGAGCACCATGCTTGAGAAAGCTTTCTCAAAGTGGAAGGCAAAAGTCAACCTGACTACACCTGTCAGCTTATTCATCACCAAGTTCTTCAGCCAAATTATTCATTTTGATGAAGTACAATGGAGTTCTGAAAGGTGACTGTCGCATGCCTTGGCTATACTGTGGATGAACTCAAAGGGAAAGACTTGGAGGATTATTGAGTCACACACAATATGGGCACAGTATTATCTACCTAGGAGCACTACAAATTGAGTGTTTCATTGAAACTTGCCAACATGGCAAGATATTCACAAAGGATTATTCTCGCACCAAATGGAGTCCAATGCAACAAATTCAATGAAAGATTTAAGAAGCAGTAAAAATAAGATGTGATATGTAAGAAAGCAGTAAAAAATAATCATAGTACAAAACAGACAGAACATTGCATAACGTATTTATTGTGCCTGTACTGGTCACATCCCCATCGTATGGATTGCCTGCTTTAGTTGAACAATTTTGAGGAATATCAAAATCACCTTTCAGATGACGGCACTGCTCAAATTAATTGTAAATGCTACAATGCTAACGTTGCCTAATTTAGTTTTCTTAAATGTAGTCCAATCCCTACTACATATAAATCAAACACATTCCAAATAACTCACTAGGAGGAACAAATTCTCCCCTTGGTGTCTGTCTTCACAAGTCATTCCCCTTTTACAAGCCTATGTTACTGCACTACCAACTGCAGAGCAAAGCACAAGCTTTACTCTGTGCATAGGAGACAGGAACAGAACAGTTTTGTCAAGATGGGGTGATGTTCAGCCCTCTTTCTCTAGAGCAAAATCTGCTCTCTGATTGTTGACAGTAACTACAAAAGTCTGAAATCTCAAATCTACTACAATGCAGCAGAGGTATGGAAAAAGTCAATTATATTAATATTTTTTTTCTTTATTATAATGTATTTTTTTTTTATTTATCTGGAGCTCAGATGGGGAAAGCAACGCAACAGATCAACAATGTTTTCAAGGTCCGCCTGCAAGATTTCCCTAAATAGATGTGTTTTGCTGAGAAAGATGCCATTTTCCAGTCTACAGTGCTGTTATTTGCACTTGTGCTTGCTAAAGGGTATCTATTTCAGATCTTCACTAAACAGGCAGTTTCACAAGAGGACAGTCAACCCCCTTCAAATTAACAGGAAATCTTACGTTGTCCAGTGCTTCCTGGTTTCCAAAGAGCTGGTGGTATCGGCGATACTTCCCTTCACGGTATTTGGCAGCAATGAATTTTCTCCTCTCCTCACTGCAGCTCGCCGGGGACAGGGCCTCGCTTGGTGGAACGTTTGCAGCCCAGAAAGAATTTGCTCTCTGGTTGCCAAGTACCGAGAACAGCTGAAAGGCCAGACACAATGTTAGAAAAAGGCATCAATAAGAGAGATGTTTTTATATTTTATAAAAACACAAAATACCATAGAAAAGAGGCAGATTCCGACACTGAGCTTAGACAAGCCTTATACCAAAAACTATTTGTAGGTTATGAATAAGAAAAATCAATGGACATAATTTATATATAAAATATGTAGATTAAGCATCTATTTGTAGTGTAAAACTGAAGTGTCGGTAGTAATAGGTTATGTACTGTACTTAATACATCAATAATACTTTAAAAATTATCTTATACCAGGTTCACTACAGGCAATCTGTTTCAAGTTCAAGTTTCAAGTTTATTGTCATTACACTCATATACTGTACATGGTATATGGTATAACGAAACGCTATTTAGCTAGCTCTCGGACATAAGTAATACAAAGAGAAAAACAACAACAACAATACAATTGTGTAGCAAAAGAAAGACAAAAAACAAAAAACAGTGTGCAAAAAACAACAACAGGCACTGTAAAGGGTAAATAAAACACCCTCATTGATCAGGAAACATTAAGCAAGGTCACATGGCTTCTTTAATTTTCTGTGAACAATCTACCGCTGGAGAAATAAACCACTGTTTAAAAAGTTACCTTTTACACAAACTGCAAATGACATGGACAACTAACATTTACAATTGGAATAAGGTCTTTGATCCCTACCAAATGTAAAATATCTCCTTGGTTATGAAATATTAAGCTGCTTTACCTAAATCTTATCTAGTTAATTCTGTTCAGTTCCAAGTACCTCGGAGGTTTCAGGCCGAAAACAGGGAATCCAGGAAGATGAAGATGGGCTGCGAAGATGTAATTTACTCTCTCCAATCTAGCTCTTCCTCACTATCTCTAAACATTCTCTCGAACTTTTTTTACGTTCCTTGGTGTCTGTCTTTTTACCAACTTTAACGGTGTTGGTGACAGGAACTGACTGGGGAATTTCTGAGAAAATTCCAACCTAGTATGTTGTGGAGACATCTGGTCTCAACTCAATTGGAATCATTTAAATATCCCATAATGGTGGTTTGCCTGCTTAACCAAATTGCTCAGATGTCTAAACACATGGTAACAGACACCCCTCTTTCTTAAAAGGAGGAGTTTCTATTCAAAGTGAGAAACAACAAAAATAACCAACCTATATATTCATAGTAGTCCCAACAATATATTCTGAAAACCAACAGACTATTACAGTGAAAACATCAAAGTCAAATGAATTGAGAAAATTCAAGTACACTACAAAACAAAGTACTACATAATTCAAAATGTTTTGTATTTTTTCACTAAAGATAAGTAATTTGTATTTGTGATCATGAATTTTAAATGAATGATACAGCACATACAATATAATACAGATTTTGTTTTGGGGCTATTTCATGTATTTAGCTGACCATATTAAAACACAACCAGAAAAACATAATTTCAAGTGACCTAAAAGTATTAAGACGCATTACATTTAAGTCAATTTCAGAATGTAAAAGTCAGTATTTGGTCGCATACCACTTTGAAGCAATAACTGCATATCTGAAACCCAGCTCACCACGCATTTTGTTGAAGGATTTGAGATGCATTGCTGCTCATCATGCAAGGTGAAGTGCTGCCCAATGAGTGTATAAGCAGCATATTCTTCTACACAAGCAGACAAAATGTTTGTGTACACTACAGAACTCATTCTGCTGCTGCAATTATTAGTTGCATCAAGAAATAAAGATAACAAGGTAGACATGAGCTACAGTATGGCAATGCTAAAGTGTGGAGAAAAAAAGAAACTGCAGGCCTACAACAGCAGCTTGATGGTGAAACATAGCCTGACCTGGGCATCCAGGATCACAAATATGAACTGCTTGACAGCAGAGCAAAAACAATACAGTAGATTTAACTTTGCTGCCCCAATATTTTTGAAGGGCACTGTATGTACAATGCTGGTACCTTATTTCTTTGCATTTACTGACTTCTTCACACAAGTTAGATTCTTTGAGGTCAACACAAGAGACAGCAACTGTTTATACAACTGCCGTACACATCTTAGGCCTACCCACCTTAATTAGGTCATCGATCCATACTTTTTTGTCCATCTTTAGACTTCGCACTTTAGATATGCTTGGGCCAAGTCCTCTGTGCTCACCTGCAAACAAGAAAACGTTCCTTCAAGAACACTGATTTACATCACAGCACTGGGTGGCAGGCTCCTTTATTTAGTACTCTAAATTCGTAGAAAGTACAATAATAATATTTCTACATGTTTTTCTGCACACCCAGAATTCCTAGCCAGAATAAGAGCAAAATAAACTTTCTAGGAAACACTTCTGAATTTCAAGAGAAGGTAAATCATTTCAGAATCAATACAGCACAAGTAAAAAAAAAAACAAGCAATAGGGTTGTTTTTAACCTTAATCAGCAGCAGCAGCAGCAGCACCAACCACCCTGGCAGAGGGGGCCCTACCTGCACAGCGCTTGCAGAACACCACGCAGAGGTTAATTGCGGCCCATTCGGGTTTGGCGGCCCCGCAGTCTGCGCAGAACCCGTTGGACTCCTCTGCCCAGATTTTCTTGGCCACCTCATAGTTGGAGAGGGCTTCCCCGATGGAGTTCTGCATCGCCTCCACCCACTCTTCCTTCTGCACATCCGACTCTGCCACGAAGCTGCAAGGAGACGGGAGTCTCACTAACGTGAACTACAAGGCAAGGGGCCCTGTTACACAAACTTGTCCCCGACAACCTCCAGTACTGTGGAAGTACCTACAACATTACCCAAGACGCATACATGTTTATCATTCATCTTTGGTTACATTAAATTACCTCGAGGTACAAAAATGTCACATTTCCTAACTGTCAACTGAAAAAAAATCATATGGCACAGAAATATGTATACAGTATTTCAGCTTCTGAAAGTCACTAATAAGCACACAAAAACAAAAACTCTAAAGACGGCCAGATATTGCTCTGTAACAGCTGCACAGTGAGTTACACAGTGAGAACACTTCCCTATTCTTCACTTGAGAACAAACAGATGTTCATTACCAAGATACAAGGTATTGGCCAACTGAATATCCGGAGCATCTTGTCCAATTCATCCTACACGTGATGAGGTCAGAGGATGGTGGAACCGGCACTCTTCATGAATGGGTGGTCTAATAAATCTGGATGATCTATGTGCTCTTCCCCATCCCAGTAAAAGAACTGAAATCCCTCAGCAACCAAACACAGTTATCAATGAACTGATTGTGTCCTGGTGTTACCAGTTATACTATTTTATAGCACAATTTCCAGTTTCAGGTCAATAATTCACAGAGCCATTTCACTGAATTCCCACCATAAACTCAGTTTAAACATGTATTGTTCTAATAAATTCAATGCTCAAGTACTTTGAGCCAGCATAGAAAATGCAACCGAGTTGCCGTTTTGGATTATTTTCATGCTTTTACCTTCTGAAATGTCTGGAATATTCGCCCAGTGGAGGTCTCACCTGAAAATCCTGTAAGGTGTAGTGAGATCAAAGGATCTTCTGTCAGTGTCTTTCACGTTACCCACATTCATGTCTATGGATGTGATCCCAATGCCCAATTTATAATCCTGGCACAGAAAGAATGAAAAGACTTTCAAACAGAAAGCAATATACTTAGATTATGAATAAAAAATAAAACAACAGCTGACTTTTCTAACAAAGAGACCAATTGTGTCTGTTTTTTTTCTTTACAGCATCTAAGTTGCTAGTGTGGTGAACATCATCTCATATTGTGTGGGATGTGTCCTATAGCCCAGGAACTGCACATTCTAATTCAGGCAGTGCAACTCATTAACCCAGGATTAAAGGGACTAGACCAGCATTCATAAAAGTGCTATTTAAATCATTGGGATTAATTTAACCGGGAGACGAGGAGGTGGTCCCTTAGTCATGTGTACCAGCTGCCCCCATTCTTGGTCTCACTCTTGAGAGTCTGAGCATAATCTGTCAGAGCAGTGTCTGTCTTCCGGTTGGTACTACAAACTCTATTTTCTGAGAGCACAGATTCTGTTCTGATAACACAAAAGGGTATGTGTCTGGACAATATCTGATAATGTTGGGAGCATTAGCAAGGTTTTCATAATAACTGGCTTTTAAGCATAAGACAAGCTTCCATTCAAAATACGCACGTTTTATAGTACACACATGATTCAGCTGAAGATGCACTGATATAAAATGTTATTTTTGTGCACTCCTTTGATTTCTGCATTTTAGAGATGTTTTTTCTGGTGTGATATAATGATGAAAAGAATATGCCTTTTTAAAAATCCCTTTAACTACCCATTCAAAAGCTGTTTGCAGTCTCAGCCTGTCAACAGTAAGAGTCTAAATCCTGCTTGCTAGAACTCACTCACTTCAGTTTTTTAGCTTCTTTAGAATTCTGTAAATTATTCCTAAGATACAGTAAATGTCAATACAGGAGAAACAACAACAATCAAGAATAACAGTGTCAGAAACATACAGCATACTAAGGCGTATCTGAGATGCATTACAAAAAGCTCTCTATTCCTGATGTCCAGGGAGTAGCCAGCCAGCAGTACGTGCTGTTGGTTCATGGGGGCTACAGGGAGGAGCAGATGTGCTGAACCGCTGGGCAGGATGTTATTTAAATTGAACCCTGGAGATGGAAATGAACTCTGAAGCAACCAGACTGTGGAAAACAAGCAAATCGGGACTGGAACGTGTGATACCTTTTGCAGGCAATTCTTAAAGCCAGTAACATATTGCAGATTCCAACTATAAATATATAGTCACTTTTACTGTATACTTTCCCAGGAGTATACAGGGAAAACGGATACATATGTATTTAATTTAGACAAAGTAAAATTAGAGAGGACTTGAATCTCTTGAATACAATGTTTTAAGATTACAGATGAGACAACAGTAGTGCCACTTTTCCCTGCCAGTTCTCATCTTTGCTCTGGGAATCTCCTGGACTTGATTCCAGCTACAGGATTCTGATTGTGTAGAATGTGGACACTCGGATCAGTGTCATTGGCATTGCGATGGAGTGGTATCCGATCCATGATGGCGAATATTCATGTGCTCTCATTCCTGCACTAAACCCTCCAGTTATAAAAATAAACTTGCAGTTTGCCAAGATCCTCTCCTGTGTGCACATTTGTTTGATTTTTTAACTTCCTCTAATTTGACAATAATGCAGCTTTGTTTCTACAATCTGTACAGCAGCAATGAAAAGAAGGATGTTGCATGGTTTCTCTGAAATATCCATCTGTCAGAGCATTTGTAAAGTCCCACAGTAGCTATAGGCGAGTAAGCACAGCAGATCCCAGGGGTCACAGCTGCAAGGATACCAAGTCCAGCAAATCCAGCAACCTCAGCAGTTGTAGTCCAAATAGTGACAAATCCAACACTCCTACCATCAATGAGATCAACTTGCAATCTACTGTATATTCTTAAGTAAGCCTGGGCTGTGCACAGTGGTCAAAGTGAAAACCACACACTCCAGAACATTTTGCAGATTCAACGTAGGCCTTTATAACAGTTGGATCTTCTCTAAAAACACATGCATACCAGACAGTGAAACATCAGAAAATCACTAAATGAGAATGCACAAATTGCCGAACAAGGAAGCACTATATTTGGTAAGGAAAAACAGTAATAACAGAAGCTCACATCCATATTCTTGTAGAGAAACACTTTTTCCCCAGAGACAACCACGTAGAGCTTGGAGCGCAGGCCTCTCAGCTCCAGATAACTCTCCATCTCGGCAGGGGGGCTGGAGGACAGATCCTTGTTGGTCGCCCTTTGGTCCCTAATTGTCTCCTGCAGCACTGTCACCCACTCCTTCCGTTCCACTGCAAAACACAGGATTGTTTTGATTGAGCCAAGTAGTATTTTTTTCCCCATTAAGAGTGCACAATTTATTTTTTCCCTGATTTGCTCCCAAATTTGAAATGCCCAGTTACAGTATAATTATGGTCTCCATTCATTGATGGACCTTCATAAATCAGACCCTGGGTGTCCTTTGATCCCACAGACCAGCTCGTACCCGTTTTGAGCAGGAGAACAGAGTTAAAGACCCAGAGAGAAATTCTTGGTTATTCCTGTGAGTCTCAATGCCCAGCTGTACCAAGATACTGTACAGTATATAGCCTGGACCGGTCACTACAGCCACAAAGGTTAACAATGCTCTCTTCAACTACCAAGGCCAGTTTGGAATCATAACGCTGAAAAACATGCAGAGGTTTTTTAATGTTTTACTTCACTTGTGACAGTGACCGTAATGTATAATTGAATTTGTGGTTGTCAGTCATTCTATGTCTTACTTCATGTGACAATAAAACCTTTAAACACAAGCTACTGCTTGACAAAATGTGGCATAATATTCCTCTTTGCTGATGTACTTGTAGTCTATGACTAGAAAGGTACTATTACTAAATACCAGCTACCAACACTGCTCTATTTTCGACTATGGCAAAGTGTTCATGTACATGAGGCCAGACATGAGTCATGAGGCCAGATGTGAGATAACAGAATATACTGTAGAACACTCCAAATATGTACATTCAGATCAATTAAAACTTTCTCCTTGAGACACATTATGGAATGGTTAACAAAGCAAAACAATAAGAGAAGGGTCAGAGACTGTTCCATTCCTATACGACTAACATGAAAGTCAGTAAAAACCTTAAAATGTTTTTTTTTTAATTTATAAATGACAACACAGTAGGCAGTGTTCAACTGTAACAATATAAGTAGGTCGGTACCAGCAACATATTTGTCTTTCTCTTGGCAACAGTGATGTCAAGATAGCTTTCTGGGATAACGGACACAGGGGTTTTCTTTAACCAGGACTGATGCAATATAAATATATTGGTATTTTGCTTGGAAGCAACAGAGTGGAATAGAGTATCTGAGCTCCAGAGTCCTGGGTTTGATTGCAGCCCATGGTGCTTGTCTGTGTGTTTTCCACATGCCCTCTCTACGTTGGTATAATATCCTTCTGCCCCACTAAGACACATTTGGCCTCACTGACCATTATAATTATGCCCACATGGTTTTTCCCCTCCATCAGTAAGGCTGCAGGTTTCCCTGCCTTCTGACGTCCCCATGAATGGGGCAAGTTTATTGCCTCTCTTCCCTTCAGAAACTTGTGATTTTCAGATTTCACAGAGAAAAGTTTCCTACAATTGATCAGAGGCATGTGATTAAGTCTGCACCAAAGTATGTATTCTATATTCTGTCCATGTAAAAATGTATTAGACAGTATAATAGGTGTAGCTCTCCACTACCATATAAGCCTCTCATGTCTAATGTATTCACTGCAGTTTCATTATACAGTAGGTTTTACTAAGGTATTTGTTATTTACAATAGTGTCATATGGAAAATTACTTTCACTTAAAATGTCAGTTATTACAGTAATATGCTGTTAATGCTGTCCCTCTATATGAATAGATACAGTATGGCCCTAGTCGGATTGTTTACTGGGGATAGGGGTGGATAATTATTTTGAACAGGTAAGTAAACTGGAAAGTTGGTGGTAGTCAAGCATGCTTTATATTAATGTTGATAGAACAAAAGAACTGGCTACTTGTGACAGTAATACAATAGAGTTTCAACCTTTCTCCCTTATTATTCAACTTGTGGAGGAACTTCAGTGTTTCAAATACTTAGGAACAGCAACAGAATACCAACTGCATTTTTAGTCAGTGTATGGTTTGATCAGCAAACTGAAAGGGTTTGGGGTGAGAGAAAAAATGTTGTAAGTATCCTTATTTCTGGAATCATGGTGTGTTGTGGTAGCCTGAGAATTAAGAGTAAAACGTATCTGGCCAAAAATGTTAATATTGCAAATAAAATAGCTGTCTGACCAAAAAACTCAGGTTTAAGAGCTGTATTATAATGCAGTTCAAAAGGTAGCTCAGCTGATCTTCAATGACCCCTCCCACCCTCCTTGCCATTTCCAACTGCTACCTTGCTACTACAGAATGCCTGTGGCCAACAGAAACGTATACAAGAAATCCTTCAGATTATGTGAAATTGTAGTTTAATATTGGTAGAGCCAGATCTGTGTATACGGTATGTATTGTTGCATGTCCTGAACTGTTGTTTGTTTTCATGTGTATTTATGTTTAGTATGGTGATGGGTATGGTGATGCCAAATAGAAATTCTCTATAGGACAATTAAGTTATATCTTATTGCATCATGAAGTTGAATGGACATCTTTTTAAAATTGACAATTATACATTGAAAACATACATTTCCTCAGCTGTAATTACTCACCATACCCTTAAACAACATCTACCACATCTCATGAATAAGACAGGCTTGAGTTATAAAATAAAACTCACAAAAACTGAACTATTTAATGTTTAATTCCAGTGGGCTACGTGTTAAATTTCCTCTTTCTTCTTGTGTTTATAGGTATATTTCAGATAGTGAATCTGGAGCAAATTGGTATTGTTTACTTACAAAGCTTTTTAAGTTCTCAGCCACAGACCTCACCCATGAAAACTATTGCTCCACACCTCCCTTTTTTCCTGTGATTCATCTTGGCTCTCTGTTTCAGCAGCTCTTATTAACTGTGTGGTTTTACAACTTGAAATACTGGTCCTCAAGCAGCAGGGTCACCTATTGCCTCAGGGGTCGGTGTTCTTAGCACACGGAGATCTAATGTAGTCGCTACTCACAGTCACTCTCAGCCCTGAACACAAAGGTCCTGTTGTGCGTGACCACCTCAAACTTCTGGTCCCCAACATTGGCAATGTGGGTAATGGACGCTGTTGGTATGATTCTCTTCGAATACATGTCCTGCAAGTAAAAAAAGTTGCCGACTACAATAACGTTCTGACAAGAGTAAGTGTTCTTAGTGTTCTTAGACGATGGACTAAACTAATGGTTCCCAATCCTAGTCTAGGGCTTTCAAAACCTACAAAATTCAATGGCTAAAGCTCTAACATGTTTAAGAGTTGGGAAAAACAGTTCAAATTAATCTACTTATTATGAAGCCAGTGAAGGGTCTGATTGCATTCTGTAACTGAGGGCTCAGAACAAAAACCCACTAATGTGTGGGTCACCAGGACTGGGAACCACTAGACTAAACACTGGTACTTCAAAAAGCAAGTTTCACTTACTGATTAAATAACTTAATCTACAAAGGCTGAAAAACGTGTCAGTTCAGCAACTTTGTTTCTTTTGCAATGACTCTGATACAGCTCAAAGGGTCTTTTGTGCCACATTGCCCTTCACAGCCTTAAAGGGAATTAAAAAGTGAGGGAGGGAGTGCAAGAAAAGATTAAGACAAGACAGAAGTTTCTTCCACATCATGAATATAGCAGGTAAGACTAAATAAAGCCTGTTGTGTAACTCACTACATGCAGTTCGCTTACGTCAAACAGAAATAGATTAAACTGCAGCAGCAGAACAAAAACCAAGCAGACTAAAACCACACCTTATCGCTGTCGAAGTACCTCAAGTAATCAGCATCGAGCTTCACCCAGCGCTTCTGGTAGATTAATGAGCTGTAGAGAAACCAGAAAGAATCGAGTATATTAATACCTCATTTCAAAATCTCCACACAACATGACAAATTTGAGAGACCAAAACTAAATTAAGAAATGCTAGGATGATGTATATTTGACTTGATGCTGCCGCCCTCAAATACTTCATCAAAAAGCCCTACTGCACAAAATAGACTAAAAGGGTAAGACAAAGAGGCAGAGGTAAAAAAAAGAAAGAAAACCTACTGGGCCCTATATGAGGCATGCCTAACTACAAGTGAGATGCTTGGCTTTCATTTGCAAAACATACTGTATGCCTACTGACACTTGTATTTCATTAATCATTTATATCAGAAGCATGAACACTGTACACCGAGTCCCTTCCTTCTCCAAGCTGTAAACCACAAGTGAGCCCTGTTTATCTGTAAACAATTAACATTCTTGCTTTTCGGCCCCAAGTTTAGCTGTTCATTGCTGTCACATTCTCAGGCATGGTAGGCCCGTGACGTGTCAGAAAAACCACTAAACAAGCATGTGAAGAAAAGCCAAAACCTCACAAACACAACAGCTGGCTGGGGGAGCTATTCAAAGTGGATTCATTGCGATGCTACACTAACTAAATGGTGCCTAATTGAATCTGCTGCGCTCCTTGAACTCTTTGCCATTAAAAAAACATTTAAGTATCACTCTACTTCTCCAACAAACCCACAGACATTCTATCGCAATACAGCTCAATGAAAAAGGAAGCCATGCCCTTATTACATAATGATTAATGACCCTAAAATAATTATGGTGATTATATTTATTTTTCTTGAGTATTTTCTCAAAAAACACCACCACTCACCCCACTTTGCAGATTATGAGACAAAATAAAATAACCATAACTGTGTCTATAATATCACTCAACAAGCAACTGTTAGTCAACACAGAAGCACACTGAAGACTGAGCAAAATTAAGTGGTGGTTACATACATTTTAGTTTAAAACCTTGCACAACGAAAATCAAAATTCCATGGCAAAATCAAATAACATTTGCAATTTAACGTAAATTAAACGTGATTAAACTTCCCTACTAAGTATGATGGATCATTTCACAGATATTGCCTTTATTAAGACAATTTGATAAAACATGCTTAACATTTCAAAGAGGAAGCTAGTCCATTTTTATTTTCTAATGCAGTTAGCTTTAAGAAGTTTATCTTTTGTGCAGAAATAAAGTATCAGATCATTTCTGCTTATATGGGTTCACTGTTACAATGCCCAAATTAAAAAACAACTTCTATTGTTTCTCTTAATATTCTTAGATTTTTCCACTTGGTACATATGCCAGAGTGAGAGACTGTAATCAAGGCTCAAGAGATTATGCTCCAGATTTGCTCATTAAAAGATCTTAAAATGATGGAAAATATTATAAAAGGCATCCTCTGCCTGGCAGACTGAAAAGAAATGGGAAGAAGTGTACCCCTGTGGAGGGTTTTTGTCCAGCCAGCCCATTTTGATGACTGGAGTAAGCTGGGACATATCGTTTCCGTCTTTGACCCCTGCTGATGGTCGCCTCCCCATCGGTGGAGGGTGACGAGTTTCCTTGAGGGTGCTCAGCCCATAGTCCTGCAGGCACACCCTGCTAGCCATAGGAAAGAAAACAGGTGCAAAAGGACATGTCAGAACAAGACTTTGTACTCACACTGGCCACTGACTGACCCCTAAAGGAAGCTCAGGCATAGCTCGGCATCTTTCACTTTCAGCTTTTAAAGTCACAGAGAACCACCAAGAAAAACAGCTGGTGCTTGCAGCCTAAAAATATGATGCTTACTATAAGACCTAAGTGGAACATAACTATTCAGTAACCTAATAAGAGTCGCTTTAGATCTTAATGTAGTTACACTGCAGTGGGGAAAAGCTTGGCCTGCCCATATCCCATGGGGCAGATCAAAGTGTGATACAAATATTCTAAGCTTCTTGCACAATGTATAGACTGCTTGTATGCAGATTTTAAAAGGAGAAATCTCTGAAATCACATGATCTAAAGCCTGAGAAAGTGTACTGCAGAAGGTACAGTACCTCATTTCACATTCAATACATATTAAATGCCCTAAAAAATAACCATCGAACAACCTCTACAAAAATGCTTTAAGACTGCACACAAGATAAAAAAGGCTGACAAAAAGAAACCAACTCTTGCAGGATGGTTTCATAGCTGTCCTCTTCATCCAGTTGTTCATCATCACTGCACAGGCTGTTGAATCGCCTCTTCTCTAACCTAGGCACAGCCAGACGCTCCTCCTATTGAACAAGAGGGCAGCCAATCATATGAGAGAAAACATTTCTCATTTCACAAGACAACTGATTTAGAACACGATATTAAAACTAACAATCTTCCTCTGTCATATACGTAAACCTAAACTTTTCTTTTAGGCTTACTTGAAATGTAAGAACTGAATGCATATTTGATTACAGTTTTGCAATTCATACTTCACTTCCAGAGTCATTAAGACATATAACTTTAATACTATTGACAAATGATGGGGGGATTTTTGGCGACTGATATGCTGAAAAGTAATACACTGAAAATGTAGAATATATTAACGAATATACTGAAAGTAAGAGCTCACATTTTCATAATTATTTGCTTGATCTGTGCTGCATAGGAGTTTATGGGAACTCTACTGTGTGTTGCAAATGGTAGGGCCTCTGAGACTGACCTTATCTGTCATGTCTATGGGGTCACACAGGTAGGGGTTCTGTATATCTGGATCTTCATAGTCCTCAGAGCTGTCTGTGGAGAGAGAGCCTGAAAAGAAAAGAAATCACTGCTGTAATTTCTACAACTCACGTTTTTTAGGTTATTTACTTTAATTATTGTATATACTAATCAATTTTTAAACCACTGGTTTCCTTAATTTCAACTAATTTTGAACTAGTTAAGGTCACAGACTATCAAAATAGGATGATTTGTAAACACTGAAGAAGCTGATAAAATGCAATACTGAGAAAATAAATGGCAGATTTAACATTAAAATGAATTGTATTACACACAGCACCAAAACTAAACTTCTAATACCACTTCTATCTCTTAGACAATGTGGGGAAGAAATGAAAAAGGAAAACATTGCTTGGATATATACCAAAAAGTGTTTGAATGTAAATCAAGGGATTGCATGTTAAAATGCTGTGACACATTATTAACTGCTCTGGAATAAGCCCAGAAAAGAGTGATCACATACAATCCTAAGTTTAACAAAAAAATCCGACTCCAACCTACTAAATAACTGAATCGTTATAGTCTTTAACAGAGAGACTTGAGTATGGATACTTCAAGTATTTAAAATCTTTAAAGTCATTGATAATTCTGACCCAACGGACTTCTGCACACAGTGAAGCACAGGACACAAGTGTAAACTAAGGGGACTTATTGATACCGAGAACAGAAGGTACTTTTAAACAAAGATTTCTAAGCCTCTGGAACACCCAGCCATGTTGTTAAACCAAAGCTGACACACTGGCTTCTTTAATTAAAAATGGATGAGTTCCTCAAATCAGTCAGCCACTAGCAATCTACTAGACTGGATGGTCTTCTCTTGTTTGTAACCTTTCTTAGGTTCTTATGCCAACTTTGAATTTGAGCTATATTTTCTTCAATTATAAAAGACAACTATAAAACAACTGGCACTGAACAATTGTCAGTGTTCATTATGGGCACACTGTATGTTTTCCAAGATGATGATTAAAATAATCAGTCTACAGAGCAATGCATTCCACTCGTAATCATGAACACTAAAGGGCCGATGTGTTTTAATTAACATAAGAAAAACAGCAATGATCACAGTTGGAAAGATGAAATCCCAATACATGCCAAGCCCACACTAAGGATCTTGATTTCACTGATCAGGTTCTTGAAGTGGAATGAGTGGAAGAATCAGACGCTCTTCAGATGTTATACACAAAGAGCACATTATTGTCCATTATATGTACTTTACATATTAGTTTTAGTACAAAATCCACATGTAAGGTATGTGGAAGAATCTTTCAAGGAATAAAACAGCCAGCTACATAGAAGGCAGAAGCAGGAGCAGGAAACTGCAGGACACTCAAGGTAGTTCATCTGGAGTACATGTTGCTGAGCCTATAGCGTCCGGGCTTCTCCTTTTAGTTTGTAAGGCACATTGAGCTGATACTGTATTACACGATTGCAAACTTGGCGCCAAGGTTGTGAGAAAGGCCTGCAGGTAAAGGTTGGGTATGTTATAATGATATACAGTACACTTGCTTCTTCCCTTACATCTTTCCATATTTTTCCCAGGGTTTATATCTGCCCCTCTTTTAATTGTCCTGCTTTTAAAATGGCACTCCTTCTTATTTCCAACTTTATCTCCTGGCAAAGACATTGCTGTATTATGCACAGAGCTTATCTGCTTTTGGCACAGTGCAAATGTTATTAGAGAAACACAGCCTGGTATATTACTGATCAGCATCAGGTGGGATATGAAGCAACCATTCCACTAAAGCTTTTGCAAGTTCAGTGAAGGTCATATTATCAAGCCCTCAGGCAGTGTTCCAGCATCCACCTTGCCTGTCTTCTTGCATGTGTGAAGGTGAGTATAATTGCAGTTACACCCCTTGAAGGTACAGTACACATCTGTAATGCAGGTCCATCAATATATTACTTCACTCCATTCTGACTGCCTGCTACAAACATTTTATTTTTAACCTCAAGCTGCATTTCACTTCCAGAGAGCTCATTTTGAGTCTGGATATATCTTGTTCTATTATCTCTGGGCCAGCAGCATGAATGAAAGCTATGCCGGGGAAATAATGCCCGCAGACCCAAAGCGTGTCAAAACGAAAGATGAGCAGAAAACCTGCCACCACAAAAAGCGAGCTGCAAATCTCCTTCTGGAAACAACAGGTGGAACCAGAAAAGGCCTTCAAACAGCTTTCATGAGCCTGAATTTCCTAAATTGTACAGACGTAAAGAGAAATCGCTCCTTGTAATAAATACATCGAATTTCTCAATTTTCTCTCTCTGCAACAAGTATCAGTAAGTAGGTACAGCATGCTAAAATATAATGAGTGAAGAAACAGCTGGGTGACAGATAACTGCTGCTCAAAGGAAGCTTTTTGACTTGAACAGAACTGTGAAAAATAAACAGAACAGTTATAAAAAAAAATCCAGTTATGAGTATTGTTCAAGGGCATGGGTGCATGTTTAACAAAGAAGAGTGCCTTTCATTTCCTAAAGGGCTACACTTTCAGACTTATAAATGCCACCACACCTTCTAATGTTTCACTGCTTTTCTGCAATGCGAGTACCACATTACAGTATATTTTCACAGTTTACAAGCTTCTCATGACTGCCAATGTGTGAAGAGGGAAGCATTTTAGATGTGTAAAGCTTTGGTATGAGTTTTAAAATGTTCTGACAAGAATTTAATAACAAAGACCATAAAGCAAGAACTGCTTCCCAGTCTAGATCAGCTGCAATTTTAACATCTTTCCAGCATTTATACTTGTTTACCGCATTGTTAGAAATGATAAAAATAGACCACCAAAATAGATTTGTCATTACAGCTTCTTAAAAGACTTCATTATCCATAGTTTGTGGTAAACAAGAACCCCATAAAGGCTGATATGGTATTTAGTAAATCAAACTTGGATACACATTCATTTACAATTATGAAGTAGCCCAATGGCTTGCCATTTACGCAGCAAGTATTTGCCTTCAGACACAGACCTGAAGAAAGAGTAAGGGAAAATTTCAGCATAATTCCACCGCAATTACCTAATTGAAAGCCACCATGTAATTGCTACTTTAACAAATGGAAAATAAGTCAAAGCTTTAAAATGCGACATAACACACTAAGAACCATATGCAGCCATCCTGTAATCTCCATGTGTTTCTGCTAAAACGAAGCTTTTTTACTTGTACAGAACTGTGAAAAATAAACAGAACAGTTTTTAAAAACCCTCCAGTTATGAGTGTGTTCAATGGCATTGCTTCATGTTTCGCAGAGAAGAGTGTCTTTCACTTCCTCATGTGCTACATTTTCAGACTTACAAATGCCACCATACCTTCTAATTTTTTGTTAACATCTTGAAATCCAAAACAAGGCAGACCCATGTCAGGTGTTTTCCAAAGCCAGGCTGCTGCTTTCTGACTTGATTATTCAACGGTCTATCTTTAAAAAAAAAAAGGGGGCGGAGTGGTGGCTCTGTGGCTAAGGATCTGCGCCAGTGGCTGGAAGGTTGCCGGTTCAAATCCTGCGGCTGATAGAGGAATCATACTCCGTTGGGCCCCTGAGCAAGGCCCTTAACCCCAACTGCTCCAGGGGCACTGTACACTGGCTGACCCTGCGCTCTGACCACAAGCTTCTCTCCCTGTTTGTCTGTCTGTGTGTCTCATAGAGAGTAAGCCGGGGTATGCAAAAAGACGAAATCCTAATGCAAGAAATTGTATATGGCTAATAAAGTGATCTTATCTTATCTTAACTTGTACATTCAATGGTTACTTTTGGTCAGCCTTTGTGTTTGATCAACAAACATCTCAATCAATATTTAGTGTAAGCTCTGTGCTTTAAAGTATGCGGGTGCTGTTAATACCACTCTAATCTTGGTGTCACGATCCACATTGCTGCGTACTTCAACTTGCTGCATATAGGTATTTGGGATTTAGTTAAGAAGGACTAAGTAACACAAATCACACAAAAAAAAAAAGCTTTATGTATATATTATATCAGTGTGGACCCTCTCTACTTTTGAAAGACAAAACACAGGAAGGCTAGAGCTAAGCTGTTTTAAAGGAAGTTCCCTACATGGTTGCTAGCAAAATCCCTGCATCCAAACGCCAAACAACACGCCGGCTTACTGATTAAATTATCAGAAGAAAGATTAACTGCACAGGAATGCAGAAAGGCCAAAACATAAAGGATTGTATTATAATTTGTAGAAAAAGTTGTGAGGAGAGCTCTGGGAAGAAAAGGATGCGAGTCCCAGGTGGAGTACTCACTAATGTTAGGCAACTTTGGGGGTCTTCTCTGTGGCGGGAGAGGCAGGACAACAGGCTGCTGGGAAAATTTGTTTCTAGGAGGAACGTCTGGCACTTTGTCAACCTCTGATGGGTCATCCACAGGTGATTGGCTGAATAAGAAGAGAGAACAAACATCATTCATTCAACAAGAAGGGACACATCTAGTCAGAGAAGAAGCTCAACACATTCTGTTGCACTGAAACACCACCAAGAACAACAAAAGAGCACTTTCCAGAATTACTGTATATTTGAATACCCATGCTAACATCTCATAATAATATAGTGTTATAATAAAGGGGCTATTGTTATAAAACTAAGAAATGAAAAAAATGAGAAATATTAGGAAGGCCTGACACCAACTTGAATTCAAGCAATTAATAAAAGTTACATAATTAACAACTCCAGTGTTCTGGGAACAATCTGGCGACAAAGAAATAACTTAAAAGACAAACATTTATTTTTGAACTATAGAGATACAAGCCACAAATTCATATTGACAACTACTATATACAACTGCAGTGATTTCCTAGAGCCTAACACAGTAAACCTAAATTTCTCAACTAGATCCCTAACACTGACTGCCCTAACGCACTCAGAAAAAAGTGTAAGCAGGGCTGATTTCATAAAGGAATGAATTGCTCGGTTAGTTGATACCTGTTAGATGTCAGTTTAACATTAAGACATTTAATGGCAAAGCCGAGGTACAGAGCTGTAACGTTCATTTTCCTGTCTAGGCAGGGCAGGAGATGTGACATGTTCTTCTCTTTTGTTTCTATATTTGTAACTATATTTATCTTCAGGAAATTCCAGCCTGGGGGCGTGAAGAATCCCTTTCTAATATAAGGGTCTCTAAGCAAAATAGGCAGTAAGATACCTGATTCACAACGATAGCAAAGACCACCAATTTATGCACAAGGGAAATTTCACCACCATTGTTAATTGCCAATTTATTTGGCTGATGTTTTTATCCAAAGAACTATTTTTTTACCTATCTGTGGAGGTGGGTAAAGTAGATCCCAAACCAGCACTTATTTCCCCCAGAAAAAGCAGTTTTTCTGCTTTGTTGTATTTTTAGTATGGTTCCAGCCTGTTTTTGCATGGTGCTGACATTTACCTTCAAATGTCAGCAGTTTACAGATGTTGATCTTTTTAAAAATGATACAAAATCGCAGCAGCTTTTTTAACGCCAAAGAGAGAATATGCGTGGCACGTCTTTCAATAGTCTTGAGATGAGGGTTTTAGCTAGCTCTGTATTGCTCTGTACAGTTGCGGGAGCACACCTTGGAAAGGAGACAGATCAGACTGAAAAGAACATGACTACCAAAAGAAACATGATCAGCAGTGTGGACAATGTGTGTTGTTAGAAAATGACAACAGCCATAGGCCAAAATCACAGTACTGTTCATAACACAATGTCAAAATACCGAACAACTTACTAAGCCATTTTTATCCACCCAGAGAAAACCACAATCTCTTATTATTTCCAAGTATAAAAGCCCTTTCCTAAATTGAGGGATGTGCCCATGTTATAAACTGTGTAGTTTATACCATTGCTTTACAGTGCACAAACAAATAGGACCTTGTCAGTACACACTAAAGGGATCCAATCGCACCCAGGAAAAGAATGTGCCAACCACCATGGGCACAACAAACAGCAGTCACACTCAGCTGAGATTCAGCTCTTGGGTGTGCTGTTGCCCATGGGAACAAAGAATGGGAACACGGTTGTTGCCATGGTTCCCTGTGTACATGAACCAAATTTGACTTTAGCCATGATTATGCGTGCTACTATTGAATGTCTGGCTTGTGTTACCTCCTTTTGTACCCCAGGGAAACAGTCAGCATTCAAAGGCCTATATAGTTCTAGAGCCCTCTAGTGCACTTCCAAATAATTATTGCAGGTCTGTTTTTTCCAGTTTTATTTAAAGAACTACTTAGAGGTGCCATCCTGTTTTCTGTATGTTTTTATTAAGTCAAATATGATTTTGCTCTGTGCAATGATATTAAGATTACTGTGCAAAATTTTTTAACCTGTTAATTTTACCGTTACTGTAAAGTATATGTTGGTTTTTATTATTTCACCAGGGACACAGATTAATCTTGAAGGCACTTTATATGTGTAGAGCTTGCATATTGCATATGTTTAGAGCTTGCACATAAGTGTTTGGTTGGGGGTGAGGGGAGTGTACTTTGGTTCAGCACAAAATCTTCTGTTGTAAAATTACACACGTGTAATTATGTAACCAAAGATTATGCAGCTCCGTCTGCAACACAGAGTAATTAAAATAGCTTCATAGTGCTTTTGCTACGCATTACTGTACCATAAAAAACAGAAATGTTATTTTTCTTGTTTCTAGGCTCATATATTTTTAGAACTGCACAGAGATTATATATGTGTGTGTGTACCAAGATGATGGTTAATCTGAAGTCACAAGTATGAGAGTAATGTAACATGGGGCCTGAACTAAGCACACTATGCCTAAAAGTTGTTGAACCTCTTTCAAGTGCAATTACATGAAAGGCACAACTATGGCATGTCTATCCAGCAACAGGAAAGGAACACGGACATAGACATTTTTTAAGAATGTCCTCACTGAAAAAGCACTGGGAAACTCCCAACAGATTAGACTAGAAGATAGTAAAATGACAAGAAATGTATTAAAATATAGGAAACATATTTCTATTCAATTCAGATGAAATGCTAAAATCCATTTTAAGCTTAAACAAAGTCCAAATCCAGTTTAAACAGTACGTGGATGAAAAAACACAAATCTGTGCAAGTTCAGACTGGCATTCCTGGCTATTTTCTGACCACCTACTGTACAATAATCATCAAAATGTCTTAATGTTACTAATGAACAAAGGCAAAAACTTTACCTTCTTACAAGAATAAAATAATAATGCTGGACATTATGATTTAAACACAAGATCTACAACTATCATTTAAATATAACCAATAACCAATGTAGATTTTAAAACATCCACCAGTGACATCTTTCATTTCATTTCTTACATGTTTACATCTCAAACAGAACAAAGTATATACAACCATGTCTTTATTTTTAATGAAAACCATTGTTTGCTTATATATCTTTAACAGTGATCTTGGGTATAAAAATATGCAGTAAAAAAAAGAACACATATGATGATACGTTACGTATTTTTAAATCCATGAATTGGTATGTTAGGAATCAAAGACAGAATCCACATTTTACAATGTCAGAGGTGCACTCAGGAATAGTCAAAGAATAGATTTTTCATGTGCTGCAGATTGTGTGCAACATGTAACCACTAGATAAACAATTTGTAGGTCACCAAGAATCAGATCACCCAATTAAGGTGTTTACCTCACTATAGAGTGTTTCCCCTGCTGTACCTCAATAAGTTATTTATTTCAGTTATTTACTGCACTACTATAGAAGATCAGCAACTCTGAGCTCAGTTCTTTAGTGTTTTCTGGTCCTGATCAACACTAGGTAAAGTGACCGCTAATAAGGCACATTTTAAAGAAAATAAAGGAGATTTCTAAGGTTGCAGATCTTTGCAATGATACAACAATACTTTTAATACCTTTGACCTTTTAAGAGAATTATTGCAATGATTTGCCAAAGTCACAGTTTATAAAGAAGACTGAATTATCTGTAAGATTTCAAATACCATTTTAAATATTGTTTTTGTTCTGGATTGAGTGTATTTCAATAGCCTTACTTCAGGATACATGCCATACAGTAAGTTTACAATCTGTTCTTATAGACCTGCAATCTTCAATATAGAACACAGTGACAGTTTTCCCACTATCTGTACTGGGCTTTAAGTGTTCCAACTCTGCGATTCCCTTAACAGGTTCTGATATCCGAGACAATACCTCAAAATTTAAAACGCGCCCTTTCATTTGATTCAGAGATTAAATATCTAGCAGACTTTAACACTATAATTCCAATTATTATTACTAGAATGAAGAAGTATGTCATACTGTATACCTGCTGCATCTGCAAGAGGAAAGTGGCTTCAACAAGAAAGAAGCAGCAGTGTTATCACACTGTATCAAATCAGGCTGAGACGACTGTGAAATTTAACAGCACAGCTCGCACCATTCTAAGCAGACGATAACTAGAGTTCCCTAAATAAAAAATACAAAAGTGCTTCCTGGTTTGAAATACTTACGGGTAAAGAAAGGTCACAATGTGTAACAAGTACAAGGCTTTTTCCTTGTCTTCTAAAAGAAACATCTTCCCCCAAAAGCACTCATCTGCAGTTATGTAAAGTACTTGAAATGTTCATTCCACTGAATATGTACAATAAATACGCTTGGCAATTCTGTCAGATTTTTTCTTTAGAAATGTATTGCATATCAACTTTCTTTTCTTGCAAGGGAGGGACAACAAATACTTTTACATATATAGACATATACATACAAGTAATAGGTTTATTCCATGCTGAAAAAAAGAAGAAAGAGAACACAACGTTTCGGCCGTGGAGCCTTCTTCAGGTGTGAGCCTTCTTCACACCTGAAGAAGGCTCCACGGCCGAAACGTTGTGTTCTCTTTCTTCTTTTTTTCAGCATGGAATAAACCTATTACTTGTTCCTTTGCAGCCTACGCATGCTGACGCAGCTACCCACCTGAACTATTACCACATATACATACTGTATATATATGTATTGACATATATATATATAATTGTGTGCTGCAAACACATGCGCATACACAAGGATTCTGCATCCCTGCCTGAGCAGTAAGTACCATGCGTTCACGAATTAATAATTAAACAAGCTGGATGCCGTTCATATAAAAACCAATATTGCCAGAATGCCAGTACTTCCCATTGTTAAGTTCTACAAGTGATAAGTCTCAATACAGACTAACCAGAAGAACACAAAAGCCTCCATTTTACAGAGGAAGGTCCTTCCCTCCCCCCCGATTCAGTCACAACTATAGTACCATTTTATTTTAAATTGATCTCACAAGTTTATAGAAGAACTGCAGGCGGGACCATAGGTCAGGCTGCAATTCGTATACAGCAGAACCACCAAGGCCAATAATGCACAATCAAAAGACATCATGCAGAGGATTACTCAAACACATCAACCAACAGCAGCTGATTCCACAAT